TGTATGTATGTATGTATGTATGTATGTATGTATGTGTGTGTGAGTATGTATGTATGTATGTAAGTATGTATGTATGTATACCTGTGTGTACGTGTGTATGTACGTACGTACGTACGTGCGTATGGATGTATGTATGTATGTACATATATAGATATATGTATGTATGTATGTATGTATGTATGTATGTATGTATGTATGTATGTATGTATATATATGTATGTAGTGATGGATGTATGTAGGTGTGTATATGTGTTTGCATGCATACATGTATGCATGCATATCTATATATATATGTGTGTTCACGTGTATGAATATACATGTATATACATGTATGTGTTTATACATGTATACATGCATGACTACATGTGTATGTAAACATATATGCATGTATGTATGTATGCATGTATGCATGCATGTATACCTGCATATATGTATGTATGTATGTATGTATGCATGCATGTATGCATGCATGCATGCATGCATGCATGCATGCATGTATGTATGTATGTACGTATGTATGTATGCATTTATGTATGTATGTATGTATGCACACATGTATGAATGTGTGTACTACGTACGCACGTACAGACATATGTATGTATGTATGTATGTATGTATGTATGTATGCATGTACGGACACACACACATCTATATATATATATATATATATACATATATATATATCCATACACCAAACAGCGAAGACGCCAGCCGGGCGGGCGGGACATTAAATGGGGCGTTCCGTCGGGCGGGCGGGCGGGACATTAACTACAACCTTCCACTAATGATGGGGTAAGGTTTTGGGGACGTATATCAGAACCGCCGAAGACGCAGGTCGGGCTGGCGGGGCATTCAATTAAATATTCACTCAGTCTCCACTCTGCGATAGGACATGGTGGGGGGGAATGTTCGGCGGCGAGCGCGGGGGGAAGTGAGAAGGAGATTTTCTCAGAAGGCGGTGGGAGTTCTCAGAAGCCCTCGCGCCTTCTGAGAACTTGTTTCTGTCTTCGGGTAAGGCTGAAACAACTTCTCAGAAGGCCAGGGGACTTCCGAACCTTCTGATAATGCCTTCTGCTTCTCACTTCCGAACCTTATGATAATGCCTTCTGCTTCTCACCTCCCCCCTTCGCTCGCCTCCGAAATGCATCACAACCACCGACGACGCTGGTCGGGCGGGCGGGGCACCAAATGCAATCTTACATCTGCATCGTCTAGATTTAGGTCGGGCATGTCCTCCTACACGGGGATTTTGGACGACACATAAAACATACTCTAAACATGCCCCCAAATAGTCAAACATACACCAAAAATCGTCCCGATATCATCTTTAGAACTATTCTTGAATATCCCTCCTGTAGACGGACAGGCCCGACTTAACTCTTCCCCTTCGGGGAGGGGTGTCCCCTTTCCATCTCTCCTTGGCCTGGATGGGGGAGCACGCGAGGGGGGGGTCGAACCTCCAAGATGGCCCGAAGAAGGTTTCAGATAGCCCGCGATCGACGACGACGACGGCGACAGCATGGCCACGGCCACGGGCGGGACATGAAATTCGGGGAGACGTGCGACTCGGGTACGGGGAACTCGGGTTGGCCTGACGGGGCCATCATGAAAATGACGAAACGAAATCTGAAAATTGACGAGATCTCCCGCTGCAAACATCCCACGAACACCGGACCGTCAAAATCCAAGACGCGCTCGTCATAAAACGTCGCAAACCCGAGTTCTGGCTTACAACCTTCACCCTGCAATGGGACACAGCTGGGGGATGCTATATCACAACTGGCGAAGTCGCCGGTCGGGCGGGCGGAACATTATATGAATCCTTCTCTCAGTGTCGGGGCGTTCAAGCCGGGCGGGCGGGCGGGACATTAAATGCAACCTTCCACAAGTGATGGGACAAAACTGAGGGAACATATATCATAATCGCCAAAGACGAGCACGCGCGTACCCTCACAGGCGGGTCGGGTCGGGCGGGCGGACACTGATGGGCGGACGGGTCGGGCGGGGCTCCAACGTGCGGGCGAGGCTCCAACGGGCGAACTGGCGGCGGGTCGGACAGGGACAGAAAAGCATGACGCATTCTCGAGATAGCACGCGCGTATCTTAACGGGCGGGTCTTGTCGGGCGGGCGGGCCCCAACGGGCGGGCGGGTCAGTCCAGCCAGACAGCGGGCGGATCGGTCGGGACCTGAGAGTAGTGCGCATACCATCCAGTAGGACATCCACGAGGGCGGCTACGACGAAGACAATGACGACGAGGTCGACAACGCCGCCAACGCCGACGAGGAATACGACGACGACGACGAGGGCGACAACGACGATAACGACGACCACGACAACGATGATGCCGACGACCACGACGACGACGAGGGCAACAACAATGACTGTGAGGGTGAGGGTGAGAGTCAGGAGGATCAGGAGATTGAGGGTCAGGTGGGCGAGGATCAAGTTCGTGGGTTGAGGATCGCGAGAGCGAGCATCATAAGAGAAAGAAAGACAAAAATTAGGAAGGCGGGGAGAAGGATGGTGAATCTGGAACGGAACTTGCCTGGCGGCGACCGGACCCTAACGGGCGGCTGGGCGGGCGGGCGGCAAGTCGGTCGGGCGGGTCATAAAAAATGATGCGCAATCGGGGTATCACGCGTCTGCCTTAACGGGTGGGTCGGGGCGGGCGGGCGGACTCGAACGGGCGGGCAGGCGGGGCGACGTGCGCGGCCCTGACGGGCGGATCGGGTGGTCTCGACAGGAGAAGTGCCGCCTAATCGAAGTAACAAGCGCGTGCTCTGACGGGCGGGGTCGGGCCGGGCGGCGGGCCAGGCCCCAAGGGGCGGGCGGGCGGCGGGTTGGGCGGGCGGGACATTTAAGCATGACGCGTACTCGAGGTAGTGAGGGGTAACGAAAGGGGGGGACGGGCACAGGGGGGGATGCATCGACCTGCAATCGGCGGTACATCGCCGATAGATCGGCGATGGGACCCCGATAATGAATCCGCACGTTTCTGGGCAGGTTGGGGCTATCGGGCCCCTCTCGGCGATCAATGGGCGATTCGGGGTCGATGCGTCCCCCCTTTGCCTATCCCCCCTATCGTTGCCCCTGAGGTAGCACGCGCGTACCTTAACGGGCGGGTCGGGTCGGGTCGGACGGGCGGAGCTCAACGGGCGGGCGGGTCAGTCCAGCCAGACGGCAGGGGGATCGGCCGAGCCACGAAAGTAGTTCGCATGCCATCCAGCAAGAGATCCACGAGGGCGGCGGCGACGAGGGCGACGATGACGACGCCGACGACGAATACGACGACGGTGGCGACGACGACGACGACCAGGGCAAGGGCGAGGACGATGACGACGACGCGGGCAACAACACGACGGTGACGGTGAGGGCGAGGGTGAGGGTCGTGCGGAAGGAGTCTGAGCATCAGGAGAACGAGGATCAGAAGAGAAAATGGTTATGAGGGTGGGGATTAAGGAGGGCGAGCCCCCAACGGGACCCCCACGGGCGGCGGGCGGGACCGTAGCTGGCGAGTGGGCAGGCGGGCAGCGGGTCGGGCGGGCGGGCTGTTAAAGCATGATGCGTTCTCGGGCTAACACGCGTCTACCCTGATGGGTGGATCGGGGCGGGCGGGCGGGCCCTAACGGGCGGGCGGGGGGGGCGACGAGCGCGGCCCTGACGGGCGGGCGGGCGGCGGATCGGGCGGCTGGGACATGAAAGTATGACGCACCATCGAAGCAGCACACGCGCGCCCTAACAGGCGGGTCTGGTCGGGCGGACGGGCCCCGACGGGCGGGCGGGACAGGCTCGAGGACCCTTTCAAGAGGCTTCCAAGGACCCTCAAACAGCATTCATTCAAGAGGCTTCACACCTGCCTCCGGGAAGCCGCGGAGCGGCCTCCCAGGACATTCCAGCGAAGCCCACCGAGGCCCTTTCTCCAGAACCTAGGCACGATTGAGCGATGGGCCGCCAAGCCCTCCCAACGACCAGCGACAGCCCCGGCTCCGAGGCGGGAGAGGGGGAAGAACGAGGGAGGGCGAGCATAATTAGAGATCAACATATCCCCCCCCGCAAGAACCACCCCGACACGCGAAGTCGTTTAGTAAACGCGTCCAGAGAAGGAATCGAACAGGGCAGGGCGGTTTAGTTCACGCCCAGTGCCATTTAGCAAACGCCAATTATCGGGTCCGGGTGGTTTTTCCTCCCTTGAATAATAGCAGAACTTCTATCGACAGCACTGGCCCCCATCATGGCCATGGTCGACGCCCTGTTTTGCGGTGATCCTCTTTCTTGCCGACCACTGTCTCGCGAAGTCCTTACTCCACTCGGCCCACGACTCTCCTGGACCGTCTTGAGGCCTTGGGCCAGCTAGGGGCGTTCTTGGAGCTCTCTTGGAGGCCCCCTGTGGCCCTCTTGGGGCTCTCCTATGAACCTCTTGGGGCTGTGCGGAGCCCTCCTTGGGCCATCTTGGGGCCCGCTTGGGCTAGTTTGCGGTACACTTAGGCCCTCCTCCTCGTTGCGCTCAAGCCACCCAAGCCAGAGCGGCCTGACTCGACCGCGGCTTATGCAGAAGCTGCGGTAAGCGGTCCCGCGGAAGAATAGCAAAGCGCTCGGCGGATGTGGCGTAAGCCTATCTAATCAAATGATATGCTGCCAGACTTCTCTGGTGAAGCTTCCATCCGTGAGGATGTCTAAGACGAAAACCAAGATCTTGAGCCTACATCGAGTTCGGGAGCTCACTGAACATCTCGCTGGATATCCGAGGCAAAAACATCCCCCCCACACACCATGTCGGATATCGCGTGCCACGGCGGAGGACACGTGTGGCCAGCTGTTCACTGGCCCTCCGAGTTTGGGATTCGGAGGTGAGCCCCGCTCGGCTCTGATGGCCCAACAAACACTGTGCACCGCACCGCTCCCGGGGTCGAGGATCGACGACGCATCAGGACCTCTGCGTTGGGGACGCTGGCGGCGGCGACGACGGCGGCCGTCACACGGCGGCGGCAACGAGCAATCCGCGACGTCACGCCACAGCGCCGCCCCGAGCAGCCGCACCTCCGGGTCCGTGGCGGGCACGGCGCCCTCCCTGCCGACGGGCAGGATGGCCTGGGCGACGAAACACGCTACAATAATAGCTCATCCGCCACTGTGCCTGCAAGGAGTGAGCGTGCTTGAATGCTCGTCAGTTGTCTCGGAGGTTGCTTGAGTTGTTCTAGGACCTCTCCCCCCCGTGCGCGCAAGCGTGCCAAACATGTCGCCTCCAGGAGAGCCCGAGCTAGGGCTCCCAACTTCGCGCTTCGCGCTCCGCGAAGCGGGAATAACTTCGCGCTCTCGCGCCGCCCCCCCAAAGGGAGAAAAGAAGGACGAGGAGGAGGGGGAGAAGAAACGAGGACCGCGAAGCGCGAATAACTTCTCGCCCTCGTGGGAGCCCTTGCCGAGGAGGCGAAACACATTGATGCGCCGAATGTTGTTGAATGACTGTGAGACTCTCACCTGTTCGGGTTTCCCACCGTCCAAGACCAAGGAAGCTCCAAGGCAGCCCATGAGGCCCACAAAGAGGGCTGCAGGTCGACCAAAGGGGACCCCAGGATCGCCCAAGAGGCTCCAAAGCCGGCCTCAAGATGGGCCCAACGCGCCCCAGGAGGGCATCAAGACGGCCCAGAGCGGCCCCAAAGACGGTCCCCGAAGGCGTCAGACGGCCCCAAGAGGCCCCGAGGCACCCGAGGAGGCGACACACATTGGTTGTCCCATGGTGTTTGAAAGAGCTTGAGGTCCTCACCAGTTTGGGCTCCCGACCGCCCAGGACGGCCGAAGAGGCCTGCAATATAGTTTCAAGGTAGCCCATGCGGCCCACAAAGAGGGCCCCAAGTCGGCCAAATAGGACCCACGATCGCCCTAGAGCAGAGGAACCCAAAACAGACCTGAAGCGCCACGGGAGAGCACCAAGACGGCCCGAGGCCCCCAAGACGGCCTCCGACAGCGTCAGACGGGCCAAGAGCCCCTCGAGACAGCCCAAGATGCCCCAGGAGCCCCCCACGAGGCCCCAAAAGAGTCCCCCGACAGGCTCGCAGCACAGGCCACCCGTTAGAACGAACCACTGTGACTGGGGGGCCGGCTGGGGGCCTGGACGCGCACGCAGGCGCATCCCCAGTCGATACGAGCCCGCTGCCCCCGCCGCGCTGGCGCGGCTGGGCGGCGACAGCCCCGAGGGGCATTCCCAGTGTATTGATAGTCCTGAGCAGAGAAGGACGAGGATGGGGGAGGAGGGTTAAAGAGCGGGAGGACAAGTGGGCAGATGATGGCGAGGGTCGGCGAACGTGTGTGGGGGGGGGATGGCGGGGAAATGAGGGGCATGACGCACGGGTGGCGAGGGAGGCGGGGGGTCGAGGGGGGGAGGAGGACGAGGAACACGGAGGGTGACTAAGAGGACGAGAGGGGGAAGAGGAGGACGACGATCCCCCCTCCCTCCGCCCATGCTCCTCTTCCTCCTCCTGGTCCTCCTCCTCCTCCTTCTCCGCCCTTTGCCGCCCCTTCCACCCTCACAGAATCTCACCCCCCCTCGGTCTTCACTCCTCACGTCCCTTCTGCGTTCATCCTGCATGGTGCTTCTCCGACGGTTGCTTGTGCATATTATGTTCTTCCTCCTCCTCCTCCGCTTCCATCACCATTCACCATTCAGCATCATCGGCACCATCAACACCATCAGCATCATTTTCACCATAGCATAATCATCATCGTCGCCGTAATCACCAGTATCATCATCATAATCATCATCATCATCATCATCATCATCATCATCATCATCATCATCATCATCATCATCATCATCATCATCATCATCATCTTCCTCCTCCTCCTCCTCATCATCACCATCACCATCATCATCACCATCATTATCACCATCATCATCACCATCATCATCATCATCCCCACGGCCGCCATCATCAGCATCGTCGTCATCGTCATCGCCATCATTATCATCATCACCGTCAGCATCATCATCAACATCGTCATCATCATCACCACCATCATCAACAACACCATCACTACCACCAGCATCACGACCATTATTGGTATCGTCCTACTCCGATTCCTCTTCCTCATCTCATCATCACCCTGTATCTCCTCCTTCTTATCGTCACGCGTATCCTCCCACTCCTGCCCCCTTCTTCGTCGCTTCATGTGCTTCCTCGTCGTTCCCCCTCTCCCCCTCCTTCTTTTTGACATCCACGGTCAAAGGCCCAGTCAGAGTAGGCAAAAAGAGGACAGCTCGACTGTGGCCACTTTCTTGAAAGGAAGGAACCCTTTGCCGAGCTGCCGCCAGTTCGCGCTCTTGTGCGGCTAGGCGAGATTCTCGCACTTCGTGCCCAGCTTAGCCAACCGCTCGCCTGAGGTGTAGCCGCCGCACCGCTGACAGACATAAGAACGACGCGTCACTACAATCGATGAGCACGCAGAGGTGATCCGGCTCTCTCAAGGATTGAGGGCTGACCCTGAGGCGGCGTGTGCACCTGCCCGCTGGAGGCTGCCTGGGGGAGCACGAAGTCTGAGGCAGCGCGGGCACTGCCAAACAAGTCGTGTGAGGACAGCCAACGAGAGACCACTCGTGGCCTGGAGCTTCCCGTGTGTCCGCATTCGGCTTCGGCACCTGCTGGACCCCGTCCAAGTCGGTGCGAGGCCAGGCCGGCACCGCACGAGCGGCCAACTTCACAGCGGCTCTGGAGACAGCTACAAGATTTTGGTCGGGCGTGCCCCCCTACAGGTGGATCTTGGACGGAAAATGAAAAACGCTCCACAAGTACCCCAGAATAGTTGAACGACAATCGAAAAATAGTCCCCAGATACTATTTTTTACTATGTTGTAAAATTGTTGACTACTCTTCTACGATTTTTGAATATACATCGCCTGTGCTTCTCCACGGAGCCAGCGAGAGGAAGCCTCGCGGCTCGGCCTGGCCGCTTCCTCTCCTCCGAGGCCCCCCCCCCCGGTGTCGAGGGAGGCGTCCGAGCCGAGGTGGGCCCCAGCACTGTCCCGGCCGGAGACCACTCCTGAAGGGGCCCAAGGACACACAGATAAATACACACAAACAAGAGGATTCCCAATATTTTCCCATATTTTCAGTGTTTCTGTCTTCCCCCCCTCTTCCCATATTTCCCCATATTTTCTGGGAGTCGACGATTCATTGTGTCTGTGTGTGTGTTTTCCCTCCTGAACTCCGTCGGACACAGCGCCGGCTCGCAAGAGAAGGCCCGGGTGCATGCGACGATGCGAATTGCGCTCGGGCCCAGACAGAGACCGCGGCTCCACGACATTCTGGTGGTCGCTCTTGAAACGAGCGCGATGCTGCGACAGATGGGCGGCCGCGCGCGCTGGGGCCGGAAATTCCGCCGCCTGACTGGTCTGAGGATAGCTAGACGAGAGGGGGCCGTAAACGGGGGCCCTAAGCTCCCCGTCTGGCGAGAGCTTGGCCGCCCCCATCCCGCCCTCACGAGGGTCTTGCTAGGAGACTTCAGACAAAAACCATCCAGGTTTAGGTTCCCCACTAGCTCATTACCCTCGTCCGAGTGCAAGGCGAGCCACTGGAGATATTACAGGAGACATCAGGCCCAGCAAACCCGAAAACACTAAAAACTTGGGCGGCGAAAGCTTCGTCCTCTCCGAGGGGTCTGGGCCACCGATCGCCGGGGTAGGGGAAGCGACCCGTCTCGAGCTGGAACCGTTCCAATTTCGCATGGCCAGGCTGCCTGGCGTACTCCAACACTTTTGAAGGGGCCCAGGGACACACAAATAAATACACACACAAATCCCAGGATTCCCCATATATATATATATATATATATTTAAAAAGAAAAAATATGGGTTTTCGTCCTCTCCCATATTTTATCATATTTTCCTTGGAATCGACGATTCATCGTGTCTGCGTGTTCTTCCCCCTCCTGAAAGTTGCAGGGGCGAGCTCCTTGGATAAGGAATCCAGGGTCTGGAAGCCAGCGGAATTCATTCGTGGATCGGCCATGGACATCACCGCCGCCCTCTTTGGATAAGCAACCCTCCAGGGTCTGAAGCCCCTGGGCACATTCCTTCACCAACGCCGCCACCGCATTTGAACAGGGCAGGGGGGGTGAGGGTCAAAGCGCAGGGAACCCCACGGTCGTCCACAGCGCCCAACGGCCGAGACATCGCCCAGTGGAGCCCGGCCAGAGAGAGCCGCGTCGCCCCCCGGGGGGCCAGCCGCCGCCCCCCAGCTGGGACGCGGCCCACTGAAGACCTGGTCCCACGAGCCCGTCAAGGCCGAGGGGCGGCGGGCGCGCGTCGAAACCACACTTCACGCGCGCAGCGCAGGGTGGGAGCAGCGGTGTCGAACCAAGTCGGGTCGCCCTCGAGGCGGGGAGTGGAAGGCAGAGGTCGTCCATCTCTGCGGACTTTTTGAAAGACGCGCAGGCAAGACGACGCAGCTTGGCCAACATTGGAGGCCTGGAAATGGGCACCAACACCAGCACAGGGGGTTGCCTCCACATGGGGAAGATGATCCTAGATTTCGGCGCTGGTGGTGATATTTCGGTCTCCTTGGAAGACAGAGTAGTAGCACCATCGCAGGGATCGGGATCTTCTTCCCTCGGTGGAGGAACTCCGCCGATATTGGTGTTGGTGTCAACCTTTATGGGCCCAGCCGCCTCGAGGCTAGCGTCATCAATGCCGACGTCTGCGGATAAGTGCCCGGGGGCCGAAACCAAATCGCAAGCGTCGAGCCCCAAAACGCGGATCATGGACGCGGCAAGCCCGCGCCCCGCATCGCGGCCTTGGCCAGGCCCGCTGACAAGACAAAGACATCTATTTTCCTGTGCGGCGAACGAGCGGGGGCAAAAACGCGTGGGGCTGTCCGAGCACATAACCTGCGCCTTCAGGCGCTGCTATATTCCCGAAACTATCAATTCCTCTGTTTCCAAATTGAAATCACCGCCCAACAAGAACGGCACTCCCAAGGGCGAGGAGCTCGACCCCGCGGGACTCAGCAGCTCCGAGTTCCCCCCAGACAGCCCCTCGCAGTCATGAGAAGAACAAGTTCCTACAAAGTGCTGCTGGCCTCCAGGAGGGCGGGCGATGGCCGCGAAGACCCTGTGTCCCGAGATAAGAAGCTGAATGGGGGCCGAGTGAGGCCCCATCCAACTGCGGCCAACATCGCCGGATACCTGGCCCCCATCCAGGGCCGGTGGCCCCCATGGTCCAAAGAGAGCGCTGGCCATATCTATGGCGCCGCACCGAGGCTATGCCCAGGCCGCAGTAGGTGATGATCCTTTTGTTCCTGCACTAAGACAGCGCGGGCCCCTTGGGGGCCTAGCCGCTTCTTGGCGGCTCTCCGGGCGTTGCCGATGACCGTCTGTGCGCGAAGCTCCTGGAAGTTACGAGCGTCGCTAGGTGGACGAGTAAGCGCCGCCCCCCCGAGATGATTGCCCCGTCGGCGGCGCGGGAGCGGCTGCGCCTCCCGAGGTGCCTGGTAGAAAAGAACTAGAGGACGCCGAGCACGGGTCAGCAAGGCAACATTCGCCGCTGCGAACATGGCCAATCAATTTTCACTCGGCCCGTGGCGGGCCCCGGGCGAGCGCGCGCTGCGAGCGAGATCCAAGCAGTTTTCACTCGGCCCCTGGCGGGCCTCGGGCGAGCATTCGCAGCCTCCTTCCGGACCAACGGTCTTTTCAAATAAGAAAAGGTTCAAGGGGGCGGATTTCTGAGCTCGACCCCCCCCCGCAGACGTTCGCGCCCAGACTGCCGCCCAAATCGCCGCGGTTCTGCTGGCGGGGTCGGTTGGGGCGGGCTGCTCTGAGCAAGAGGGGCCGGCGCGGACTCGGTCGAGAAGGGCGTCGACCGAATGGCGCCCGTCTTGCCTGGAGGGGCAGACACTTCAGGGGGCCCGGCAGACGAAGAAGCGAAGCCAGGTGGGGGGCCCGCTGCCCATTCGTCCCTGGCCGCCTCGCTGCCCTCGGCGCGGCGCTTCATGGCCGCCAAGCGATTCGCCATTGCCCGCTGGGCCGCGCGCGCCGCGCGGGCCGCGTTGGCCGCCGTGGCAAAGAGCTCGCGGGCCAAATCCTGAGGGCCCTTCTGGAGCTGCTCCTGCCGCGTTTGCATATCGTGGAGGTCCTCCGGAGCAAGCTGGGCATCGGCATTCGCAGTGAAGACGTCGCCCATGTTAATTCGGAAGGCTTCAACCTGCCCTGCGAGCTGGTTTTCCAGAGAGCTCTTCGGCAACTCCATCGCATCGGGCTGCCCGCCCTTCGACGCGTTGGCGGCTGCGACCTTCCGGGTGAGCTCGCTGCGAGCAAAGTCCACATGCTTGAGCTCCTCCGCGATGGTCGCCAAGTGACGCCGCTGGGCCGCGAGCTGCTTCTCTGACTGCTTGATCTTGTTCAACTCTTTCTCCATCCGCTTGCCATGCCGCAGCCGCTCCTTCTGGCACCGAACAAGCTGTTCCTCCTGCGTCTCGGGCACCTGCAGTTGGGCTCGGCAGCACCCAACCTCCATGATGTTCCCAAATTTGTCGTGAAGCCAGATGAAGCTCTCGAGCCCCTACCCCGTGAGGTTGGCCACGGGCTTAGGCTGCTGTAGGCCACCTTGGGGCCCAGGGACAAGCGCGGCCTGTGACGCACCATGCTGACCAAGTTGGACGACACTCTGGAGCTGCCCTCCGTAATGCCCGAGGTGTACGCCATGTCCATATCATCGCTGGCCTGGGCCTCGTGGTGGCGATAATAACCTCTGCCCTGGACTCGGTCCCCACCAGCTCGAATCTTGTAGTGCGGTACCTGCGGGGCGAAGTTGAAAGACGAACGAACGTGTGGGGCAACACCATCAGCCCAAACACCAGAAGGCCGAGCAAGATGCACAGGAGTAGCTCCACTGTTGTACGATGCTTTGCAATTCTTGATCGAAATGATCGGGCGTTTGCCGCAACCGCAATTTGACGCACAACCACATCGCACCTTGGACGGGTTTGGGCTCCCAGCTCCGGTTGAACCCTGCCACGTCCACGGCTTGCGGGAGCAACCATGAGCACAGCGTGAGCGCAGAGAAGGTTGTGGGACAGAACCCAATACAGTGCGCGGAAGAGTGGGCTGTGTGCAGAAAAAATGGATGTGAAAATGCCAGGGGAAGCCATGGAAGAGGTGGGGGCCGCAAAATACCCCTGCCAATAAGGACAATTCCGTGAGCGAAACGCTACGGACTTGAGCCACAATTGCTACGGCCTCCCCCTTCTCTTTCTCGCCCCCCGTCTTTCTCACATCCTTTTCCTTTCATCCTCCTCTTCTTCCTCGTACACCCCCCTTCCCCACGGTGGTCCTCTTTTCACATGGGGTCATCAGTGTACTTCTCATCGCGTTCCCCCTTATTGCGTCCCTCCCCCCCCTCCCCCGTCCCACCTTTCCCAATTCGCCCCACCTAGTTTCCCTGCTGAAGCTTTTGTTGCCTTTGCCTCGTTCTTGCCGTTGCTCATCGTGTTCATGATGCCGCCTCATCCTCAGCATATGTTCACTCTGAGCACTACCTCCTCTCTCCTGGCTAATCTCCTGAGCCTGCAGTCGTGGTTTCGCCTCTCCCACGTATGTTCCCAAACGCAGGGTTCCAACATCAATTGTTTACACACACGTGGTTGTCCCGCTCGAGACGTCGTTCGAATCGTGATCCCGCTGCAACGCTGGCCCCCCATTTCAGTATCGCCAGGTTGCCCCCGTCGTTCAAAATGGCGGTCTTGTCCCAGCGCGGGCCACATTTCTGGATCCGACTCCTTTCCCGTCACTGCCGCCCCCCCGTTTCCCCTCCTCCGCCTTCCCCTGGTCCTCCTGATCTTCCCGCTCCTGCTCTTGTTGCTGCGCTCCCGCGGCGTGACAGGTGGGTCTCTGGGACGAGGGACCCGCCCACGACAACCCCACGGCTCGCCAATGGACTCCCGAGAAACGCCCAAGATGGTCCTAGAGAGCGCAGGGGGCGGCCCATACTGGCTCAACGATAGCCCGCGATGGACTCACGACGGTCCAAGCGGACCTCAATACGCCACAATAGGGCTCCAGTAGACCGCCCAAGAGGCCAAATTTAGTGATGCCCTATAACGCTGTTGAATGATGTTGACGTTCTCGCCTTTTCGGGCTTCCGACGCTCCAAGGCGGCCTAAGAAGCTTCCAATATCGCTACAAACCGGCCCAATACGACCCAAAGAAAGCCTCCAAGCGGCCCCAACACGGCCCGGACAGGCTCCCAAGAGTGGAAACACGAACTAATGTTCCCAGCCCTCCGCCCAAGGTGATCCCCTTAAGACGCCCCCAGGAGTTCCACAGAGGCCTCTTGGGGACGGCTAGCGACGAAACGCTGGGTCGAAACTTGTTGGTCCGCGGGCACCAGCGAGGCAGGTACCAGACAACATCTTGATGGGGCGCTCCAGAAAATGATTGTGCTGGGTCAAGACGAGGAGCGGCGGCGTCTTGAGGAGCGACGCGGATGTAGTTCCCTCGGGCCTACCCCCGGGCTGCCCCCATGCTTGCCTCAGATCGTCCCTCCTGCCTCCTCCTTCCCAGGCAGCCCGCCTCGATAGCAGCGCGCCACTTTCTGGCCCACCTGGAAGCTGGCGACGCGGGGGAGGGGGGGGAGGGCGAGGGATGGGGGAGAGGAGCAGCGGGGTAGGTGTGAACGGTGGGAGCCGAGTTGAGACGACGGAAGGAGAGAGGCGGGGGGGAGGCGGCGCCCCAGAAGTGGCCCCCCCCCAGCCTCGAACAGGCGCACGTGAAGGAGAGACTTGAAGCGTCGTAGCGGTTGGTGGCGGCTGCCACCACTGGGCCTGACGTCTTCGGGGAATGCTGTCCCCTTTGCAGCACCTGCCGGCAACCCCACACCTGCTGCTCGAGCCGGTCAGGGTGGCGATGACACCCGCACCATACTCAAAGAGATCATGAATTGAACTCCGAAAAAGACAAACTGGCTTCGAAATCAGAACTCACCCGCTATTTGTTTGTTGGTTCACATCATAAACATTATTTATATGTACATGTGTCAAGCGTTCAATGGAGATACCTCTGCTGCCGCTTGAGTTGAGCTCCTGCGTCTCCACTCTGGAGTCCCATCCTCCTGCTGCGGGTACCAGCGGCATCAAAAACTTGAAGTAGAACACGACGACACTATTGACCCTACCCGACGCCGTGTGGCGTGCGACTGCTACAGGCTAACCAGATGCCACCGTTGCCGACGCGCGTGTTGGCAGGATGGAAGCTACCTCAAAGACTACGTCAATAGGATTCGCCCCATCTGCCCCGACGACAAATTTGGCCGCGCTCGAACCCAAAGCTATCTGAATAGTTCTAGACTGAAATCTCTCGCGTGGAGGTGGTCATACTGCTGGCTATCAGCATGGACTCCTTCAAGAGCAAGCTTCACCTCAGCGGCAAGACGCGACGCGTCGTGCTGAACTCTTTCATCGCCTACCCCTCGTCGTTGGTCACCCGACCATTGTCGCCATCGCCGAGGCTTGGCCGAATCAATCAATTTGTGTCCCTCCCTGCACCTGGCTACGTACTGCGTCCCAGGATGGACCAGCGCGATGGTCGACAGGGTGACATTCTTCAATCCTGCGCCAAAGACTTATCTCCCGAGTGCAGGTTCCAAGCTCGTCTTACGCAATAGTTCTGAAGATAATCAACGATCCTGGGATTTGTTCACGCCTACAGTAGACCTCTCCTTCTTGCCCTCTACATTTGCCCGCTCGACCAATACTAACGCGAACGGAAAAGCACCGATGCCTGGAAAACGACATTTTACGCGCATCGTTAAGTAGGAGGATGGACACGGGATTATATTCTCTCCGACCCTGCGTCGGGATTGTTGTGCAAAGTTTGCCCTCCCGCTCGCGACTATGAGGTTGTCCATTCGACGCATCAGATGCACGTCTCTCGCACAACACGACTTCACAACGCGCATGGGCCATATTACATTTATACGTAAGTCCTCCTGCCACTGGCTTCATATCGAGTGCTTCGAGATGGTTGAATCTAATACCCGCGCTGATGGCGTGACTATATAGGAAGAGCCGTATGGGGATCGCTCCACTGGATATGGCACGAAGGTAAACAGCATACCGCTCGCAGTCGACGGCGCATGCTGGAGACGGCGTTCTTGCAACCATTGGCAGCTGTTATGCGATTATCTGGCGTTCCAGGCGGCAAGTATCTCGTACACATCCCTGCATGTATGTCGACGTCTGTCTCTCGGCTTTGGGTTCTGAGGGGAATTCCAATTTGATTACCACAACTCTCGACGAGAAGCTCGGCGTCCCAAACGTTCCCGCGCGCGGAGGTAATGTTATGCCAAGCTTCGCTCCCGCTAGGCGGCCAGATGCGAAGCAGCTTTTTCGGACACCTCGCCAGTACTTCGGCCCCAGTGCCGACACTGTGCGGGCACCCTTTTCAACGAAACGGCCAACGAGCCTGGGACGCTGTTGGCCTCGACTGTCCGTCCAGCGCGGCTCCTGGCCTGGCCCATGGGAACATCACTACCCGCTTCATCCTTCCAACTAGGTCGGACGAAAATTCGGCCGGCCCCAAATCTATTGCAACCCACAAATCGATTGCACCAAACCTATTGCACCACCCCCTTGTCGCTGGACCCCCTTTCGGGTCTACCGTAGAAGTGCTGTCAGCGAAGGGATGAGTCGCAAATCAGCTCACGCAACTGACTCTCCCGGCGCCGGAGGGGTCATTGGATCGCGGGCAGCGCCCGGCGGCGGGGCCGAAGCCGGCAGCGCGCAGCAGACTTCGTACCCCCCGCCGTGCCCTATGTTCCCCGTCCCTTCGTCCCCCCCGATGGAAGCCCAGACGCGCGACGTCCTGATTTTTTCAGTGCGGGGTCCCGAGGCTCCAGAGGTCCTGACCCTGTCCCCAGCGATGGCCCCCTGCGGCCGAAAACGCCCTCCCCCCCCTCCCCCGCGTCCAGATCTTTGTGCGACTCGAGCATGTCCTGGAGTCGTGATGCCCCTCCTCCCTCTCCCCCCCTCCCTCCCCGCTCCTTCCTGACTCCCCACTTCCGCTCCTTCTCCGAGTTGAGAGCGCATGCATTTTCCCGCATTCCCCGACTCTGTTCAGATGTAATGCTGACTTGTCTGCCCGGAAGATTGATTGTTCACCCGTGCCCCGCACAGGGCCGAGCAGCCGACAGGCTTGCTCGAGTGGCGCTCCTCCTCGAGCATGTCTGGCAACGCAAGACCTGGTTCGGCGACACCGCGTGCCGCGGCGTGCCTCCACCGCCTGGATCGGCGGATCAACTCGGGCTGCCTCAGCATCGGCAGCACGCTGGGCTGCTCCGCCTGCCTCACCGAGCGAGCGCAGAACCAGAGCCCCCTGTAAAGAAGATGCAGCCACACGTGCTGGGCTGAGGAAGCCGCCCCTGGCGCCCTCCCAGGGACGACCTCGAGCCCCCCAACGGGGACGACCTGCGCGCGGCGCCCGTTGTCGAAAGCCGCGCGCACGTCATCACCGCTGGGGGGGGTCGAGGTCGGCCACAAGGGGGCGCCAGGGGCAGTTCCGTCAGCCAAGCGGTTGGAGCCATCACCCATGATGTCCGCCCGCCACCTTTTGGCACACCTGGTGCATGCGCAACCGCGGCCGCCCTTGCCCGTCCAGCTGGCCCGCGCCACGTGGCGCCCCTGCGACGTGGCCACGGATCGGGATTGGTTGTGGAGATGGGTGTGTGAGGATGGGATGTGAGGGGGGGGCGGGGAAGGGGGGCTGGGGCGAGGTGGCAGGAGGTGGGGGATGGGCATTGTGACATGGCAGGGAGAGGTGGGGCGGCGCGGATGGAACTGGAGACGCCGTTGGGGTGGGGGGTCGAGATGGCGGCGAGGATGGGGATCCGCAGGTTCCCCCCTTCCGATTCCCCTCCCTCCTCCTCCCATTTCCTCCCTCCCCCTTCCTCCTCCTCATTCCTCCTCCTACTCCTCCTCATTCCTCCTCCTCCTCCTCCTCCTCCTCCTCCTCCCTCGCCTTCTCTCGTCCCACCCCCGTCATCTTTCGCACCGGTCGGGCGGGGAGAGGTGGGCTTCCAAGCGGGAGCGGAGCGAGAGGCCCGCCTCGAGGTCGGCGGCCGCGGGGCCGGCCGGTTCTCCTCCTCCTCGGGCGAGGGGGGGGAGGCGGGTGCGCGAGGCCCACCCCGCCCCTCCGCGGCTGTCTCTCAAGGGGCCCAAGGACACACAAAGAAATACACACAGATGACGAGATTCCCCATATGTTCCAACATTTTCTTTGTTTTTGTCTTCCCCCCGCTTCCCATATTTTCCGACATTTTCCTGGAAATCGACGATTAATTGTGTCTGTGTGTTTTTCCCCCTCCTGAGTTTCGTCTCCTCCCGCCTCCTCCTCCCGCTCCCGCTCCCGCCTGCTCTGCTGCCGCCTCCAGCTCGCAGTCGCCGCGCGGGCCCCGCCTCCTCCAAAGACGAGCCGGTCGATCTTTGAGGCAGGAGGGCGCCTAAAGCAGATTGGGATCTCGGAGTTCCAAAATACCCGCTTTCAACGACTGGCGTATAAATGGGTGGACACGATAAGGGGTATACAGTAAAGTCGACGGGCGGGTCTACCAATGACGACGCGAACAGTTACGGATCCGAGCAGAATCTGTGATCGGTGATCGGTAAGCTCCTCCTTTTTCCGCCTTTCCTCTTCAGCCTTCTTTTTCCGCTTCTCCTCCAACTCCTTTGCCTGCTTGTCAGCTTCTATCGCTGCTCTCTGTGCGCCATAAGACGTCATGGCGTTGGAGGCCTTGTACACGTCGTAGCCTCGCGGCATCGGACTGCATGATAGTGGCAAAAGGGTCGCTGCCGCTGGGAAGGGCAGTGGGATAAGAGGAGTACACCGGTGGGCGAATTTGTGAGCCCGATCTCGCCAATCGCTTCGGGCGCTGGGCGACGACCGCAACAACAGGACATCGAAGTCACAAACGAAGCAGCGGCATCGCAGGCGGAGCGGACAATCACGGTGCAGCAGACATGGTTTCACTACAAGCGACAGTCTGCGGCCGCGCCTGCACGATTTGGAGTGTTAGCATTAAGTCGGGCGTGTCCCCCCTACAGGGGGATTTTCGACTAAAGATAAAACATATTCCAAAAATACTCCCAAATTGTCACAAAATACTAGAAAATAGTCCCCAGGCTATTGTTTGACTATTTTTGAATACTCCCCCTGTAGAGGGACAGGCACGACTTAAAGTTAGCACGTACTAACAGGCTTGCCATTTTCCTCTGGCCGACCCCCCACCCAACCCTAGCACGTGTCGTTAAAACCTACTCTCCCTGATGTTGCCTTACCCCCACGGCCTTCCCGGCCCCCATCTGGCTCCAGGACGGCCCACTGCTGCTCCAAAGCGCGGCCGCGAGATGCCGGAAGACTGGCCCCAATGCCGCCCCATGATGCCCGAGAGGCTCCAATTTGTCTCCAGGAGGTCCTGAGAGTCCCCCAGGAAGAGTCCCCTGAGACCCACACTTTGCTCTGGAAACATGGGGGTCGGTGCATTTTGCTGCAGAGGCTTTCCAACTGAAAACAACACAGGAAAGAATTCGTACACCCCTCCGGGAAACTGAATGCACATTTTTCCCGCGCCGCGTCGGCACCCCAAACCCCCAAATCTTAATGTTGATGCCGATGCACGCGACTTGATTTCTTCTGTCGGCGTCCGCGGACCGCGCCGCGCGCGCAGCTGAACATTGAAATTGGGGGCGAGGAGGGATTGGCAAAACTTGTGTTAACTTTCGCGAGGCAGCCCCAATACTGCCCGAGAACCTGAAGGGCCCCAAGACGACTCCGAGTTCTGCCAAGCCGTCCCCGAGATGCTTCAACCGAGACAACCCAATGGGCCCCCAACGGGCTCCGAAAAGAAACACCTAAAGGCCACCGAAGAAGTCCCAAAGAAGCCCCCAATGAAACCCGAAAATACCTTCGAGAAGGAGGAAGGGGAAATGATCCGTGTGCTCTGAGAGCGGGGAAAGGGGAAGTATTAGGATGTGGAGAAGTGGGGAGGATACTGAAGCTGTGGTCGATGATTGGTGTTTAAGGCACGCGCCAAGCCAGACATGGCGCTGAAATGGGTCGGGTCTTTAAGTGAACCTCATTCCTGCTGCGCTGCGCTGGCACGGTGGTGGGATTTGCCAGAGGTGGCTGGGTAACTTGGGTAACTTGCGTAACTTGGGTAGTTCAACTGTCGACTTCACAGTGCGCGGAACACATGGCATGCGTTTACCACCACTGAAACAATCACTAGAGACAATACCGAGCGAAGAGCGACAAAGGAAAGCCCACGCAATGGCGCTAATGCTTGTGTCGATTTAGCCATCCTGCGCACGAGTCTCTGACCACAATCCAGAAGTGAAGCACTCGAGCAAACAGGACGATGAGGAGAGGGAGAACGACGATGACGATGACGTCGAGTGAAAATCGAAGAATGGGCAGTCTCTGGAGGAAGTGGGACGATCCTGCGGATGAGTTTGCGCAGGAGGGTACTGAGGATAATGACAAAAATAAGGGAGAATGGAGGACGTGGAGGGAGAGGTAAGAGAGAGACCCGCCGCGGTTTCTACCTGGGTGGAGAAATCCTAGCGCCGGCGCCACGGCCTTCTGGAATGTGGTGGAGATACCTGCACGTGTCCCCGTTCCGGCAGGCTTTCCTGGAAACCCAGGCCCAGCAAATCGGGTCCTGGAAGCGGGCTCATAGAAGGAGTGACAGTGGGCCTCCTCCTCCTCCTCCTCCTCCTCCTCCTCCTCCTCCTCCTCCTCCTCTCCCTGCGTGCCCTCCTCCTCCTCCTCCTCCTCCTCCTCCTCCTCCTTCTCCCCATGCGTGCCCTCCTCCTCCTCCTCCTCCTCCTCCTCCTCCTCGTCGCCATTCGTTTCTGCCTCCTGCCCCGGCTGCTGCTCCTTGGGCGATCTCGGAGGCTGCTTAGGCCGTCTTGGGCCTCTGAGCCGAAAAAAACGAAAACGCTAAAATCCTTCTCGAAACCCTCGGGAAAGTCAATGATGTTGGCCTCTGGAGGCGCTCTTGGGGGTCCTGTTGGGGCCCTCTCTGGTCGTCTTGGTGGAGCTCCCCGCATCAAAGGTGTTGGTGGAATCGATCTGGCGGCCACGGTGCAACGTGCGAACGGAAGGATACAGTACACCAGCTAGAACCATCGTGCGCGCTTCGCGCGCGCGCCCAAGTATTGCTAGTCTTAGGGCCCGGCACACACGGCGGAAAAAAAAGGCCGACCCCGAATAGACGGGAACAGCGGGATTCAATACAAGCGCGTTCGTCGCTGAAGGCGCGATTGCGGTCAGGGACTGCGGGGAGGGGTGTATAACTAGATGCAACTATGCACGCGTGCAGGCATTTGTTTTCCGGAGCTGTTGCCAACCCATCTCAAAACCTACCCCAGCGCTTTGCACCAGCAAAGGAAGATAATCGGTGAAGGGGAGGGTGCTCTCGCGCGGCAATCTCTGGGCCCCTATTTGGGTCCTCTTTAGGGCCATCTTGCGACCTCTTGGGGCCATTGTGAGCCCTCTCTCGTTTGGGGCTCTCTTGTGGCTTTTTCGCGACCCGTGACTCATCCGAGGCCCTCGCGGAGTACTTGATCGAAAAGTGCGGAACCACGAAAAAATGTCAAACGCGATTGGAGCTTTCCTATGGTTGACTGATGTGGGCGGTCTGGGGGTGATCTTGCGGTCTGGGGTCGTCTTCTGGCCTCTTCGGCGCTCTTCGTGATCTTGGTCGTCTTGGGCCATCTGGGGTTGTCGCCCAGCAGAGGCATCCCGGTGAGCGACTGAGGGCATCTTGAGGGCTCTGGAGCCTCCGGAAAGGGTCTGGAAGAGGCTCAGGGCGGGCATGGGCGGGGAGAGGGCTATCAGCGTACCCGGGGTGCCCTGGGTTTGGGGAGGCCCCAGGGCTGGTGCTCGCCCCTATTCAGGACCCCTCGTGCGCCATCCTGCTCCAACTCGTCTTTGCTCTCCTCCTTCCTTTGCGTGCGGCTTCACCCAATACAGTGGCGGACGATGGAGGAGGAGGAGGAGGGGGAGGAGGAGGAGGAGGGGGAGGAGGACGAGGAGGAGGAGGGGAGGAGCAGGACGAGGAGGAGGAGGAGGAGGAGGAGGAGGGGGAGGAGCAGGAGTGACTGTTGCCGGCGTGAGTTGACCGCACGCTGTTGTGTGCATGGGTTGTCCATGTGCCTTGCGCTCCAGTCTGCGGCAACTCTTGTCCAACCACCCCCAAAAACACCCTCTTAAAGCCTGGAGTGGACTTGCCATACCCTGCACCATGCTTTCCGCTGGCCCAAGCCCATGGTACAAATGATCAAACAAACCGCTCCCACCAAAAAACACCCAACACCCCACCTATCTTCATCCTGTTGCTGCTGCGGCAGGCGCCGTTGCTGCTCGTCCCCCTGCTGCTCCACATCCTCGCGCGCCTCCCTGTCACAGCTTCTTCCTCCTACCCACACGTTACTGTTCCTCCCCTACGTGTTCTTGGTCCTTTCTCTAGGACGCGCGGTCGGGCGTGCCCGTCGCGTCAACAAAATCCACTCAGAGTGCGCGCCACGTGGACCCCTTTGCCTGGCCCATGTTGTCGTTGAGGCCACGCATGGGAACCATGATCGTCTTCATCGTCACGCATCAATCGTCGAAACCAGCCAACACGTATGTGTTGGCGCTGTGCCCGGCCTCGCACTGCGGGTGCCCGTCAAGATGCTCACTGATGGGTGCCATAATGGTGCAAGACTCCGTCGTGCTGATACACATTGTGCTGCATTGCACCATGCTGTTGGAGCCCAAGGCGTGTCCTGGCAACATATCCTTACGGGAAATTGAAGGATAATTCAGACGACCCACCGCCCCCCCTCCCCCCAACAACCTCAAGCAACACCACTGTGGCTCACACGACTGGAGCCATTGGCACTATCGCAACATGTTCGTCACGAGTGCAGCCCCACCTCAATACCTGCAAGCGCTCTTGCCCATGCAGCCTCAGGATGGCCCGAGCCCTCAAACATGCACGAACGGCGAATAGATCGACGGTTGACACTGGCAATGTGGACTAGTGACACGGGCAATATTCCGCCTGACTGCAACATATTCCGCCGCATTCGGCTTAGACGCGTAAGTTGTCGAGAACATGGCCAACGTTGGAGCCCACGCTGGTCAAGCGTCACAATTGAGGGTCCACGCGCTCGCAGGAAGGTGCAGTGTGCAGGAAGCTGCAGGAAGCTGCTGCACTAGATATCCAGATATGCAAGCTCATCCAAAGCGGAAGGCAGCGAAGGCTGGGCAGAAGGGATGGCTGCTCAAAGCCCTCCCCTGCGGTACCAAACAGGTCCATGCTTTGCTTCGCCATGATCAGGTTTCAGAAATTAAAGACTTGATGACCCCAGAAAAGGGGTTGAACAACTCGTTGCTGACCTCATGTATTGCGAAGCCGACTGGCCTTCGACGGCGAACGATACCAAACGGGAGCACCATGGAACAGCTGTCGAACGCGCTTGATGACCATCGGCTGCTGGCGCTGAAGGCAGTTGTTGCCATCGACCCCCTGGAGGCTGGGGACTTGAATCGTAGTGCTGGGATTTCCTCTCGGAGCAAGGTGGTGGGGGTTGACCACTGGACCCCGTGCGGTATGCTTGACCTTCCTGTGCGTGCCCAAGTGTGCTCACTGGAACATGCAACACATCGGAAAATAACCTTTCTGTGGCCAGCCAGGATGCTGGTTGGGGTTATCGTAGTACTCCCCAAGACGGTTGACAGTGATCGACCAATGTGTAAGCGCCCTACCCTTCACAGGCTCGATTGTCGCATGAGTGGGCGTGGTCTGGACCACCGGGACCCCCACGCATTGTAGTGCACGGCGGTGCGTGGGAGCTCAGCGCCCCATGCGGCCCTCTTGCGTGAGGTTGGTCAAAAAGGTTGCTCTGTGACTTGTAGGTGTTCGGCTGCCCTGCATCGGGACCTGACTGCGCTCTTTGATACTGCGAGCCCTGCCCATCGCATTCGTTGGGCGATGAAACTTGAGTATCCCTCCGCCTTGTATCTTGGAATGCTGGTGCATCCAGCTCCGAGGATCCGAGGACTACATGATGCTCCAACTACACTTCTGATCCCAATCATGTTTGGACGGGGTCCCTTCGATGGTGAATGCAGACGGTGTCCGTGGTGAGAACATACTTGTGCGATGTGTTTCATCATGCAAATGTTGTCCAGCAAGGCGAATCCGACTGCATGAATTTGCCAGGTCCTGGCTCCTGCTGCTATTGTACATTGTCACGACCTCGAGGCATTAGAACGCGGTATCTCCGTCAAGAACAATTTATTCGCTTCACACGCGTCTTTGCGAGATGCATTGCAGACTACCTGTGAAGCTGCCGCCTTGCCAACCCAGCATGTATGCTGTGGGTAAATGTGGCAAGCTTACTTGTGAGGGTCGTGAGCCGTGCCATGATTCTATGTTAGTAAGGCGAAGGCGCGCTAACCTGGTGGCCTGTCTGCGTTGGCTGGTTGGTCGAGCGCCCAAGCCGCGCAATGCAGGGCTCCCTGCGGTTGGTTCACAAGGCCATCGAACTCTCGGGTTATATCCCGCTCACGTGTAAGCGGTGCGAACCCAATTGGCCTCGAGCTGGTGGCTCCTGGCGCGTGTACGGCGGCTGTCCAACCCCTCCTCTTGAATGCACCCCTTCAACAACAATCACCGTGGTCAGCAACATATTTCACCATGTGGCGAGACATGCCCCTCAAGCAACATACTGCTGTTGCGCGCGTGGGCTCATACCTAAGAACTTTCTTGTGTCGTCCCGCAGAATTGCTGCTGGAGAATAACCACATGCCCCATCTTGCCATGATTGCCGTGCCCGTGTACCTTCATTGGTGGCTAATGTCACATGTGTGTTCGACGCAATGCGGGGCTGTTAGCCCCACCCACGTATTCAGAATCACGCGCATGTTGTTCCCATGATGTGTGGATTACCTTGCCTGATATTTGTCTTGAGAACTCCTGCTATAATTCGACAGACCGCTATCATGGGGGGGAGGGGGCGGGGTTGCAATACTGAGTTGACCCCAAGGAGCTCCATAAGATGCTTAAGGCCATGATCAGGGATGGAGAGGTTGAGTATACCGGAACTAGAACCACGCGCGCGCTTCGCGCGCGCTTGAGCTATAGCGCGCTCTGGTTGCAGTCCGAATAGTGTGACATAGGAGGACACGTAACTAGTGAATCATGCTTTGCCTCTTGCTTTAATTTCCCCATAAAAGGGGCTCTTGGGGACCTGCTGGGCCGTCCGAGGTCTTCTTGGGACATCTGGGGGCATCGTTGGCCCTCTAAGACACTCGTCGTGTTCCGTTTTGAGCTGTCTTGTGGCGTTCTATCCTCCTTTTCGGGCGACCCGCGGGCATCCTCAGATCCCCCGAGGGCGTGCTCCCCTCCCCCCCCCTCCTCCTCCTCCTCCTCCTCCTCCTCCTCCTCCTCCTCCTCCTCCTCCTCCTTACCCTCCTCCTCCCCTCCCTCCTGGTCGCTCATCCTCCAAGATGATTTGAATACGCCCCTAGGAAGTCCCTAGACTCTAGTAGACTCCCTAAGATGGTTCCAAGACGGCCCCCGAGGTTCAGCAGACGTCCCCGGAGACCCCGAAGAGATCCGCAGGAGGCTCCCACGACGCACCCAGGATGCCTCGAGAAGGCCCCCCAAGAAGCCATCCTGTGTCACCAACATGTTTTTTTTACAACGGCTGGTGGAACACGCGATCCAAACGCTCCCCCCAACGGTTAGACATGTCGGCGTCTCCCAAACGGCAAGGACTGGCGGCGACTCGCCGTAGTCGTCTTCGATGCGTCGCCCCCTGCTGCTTGCAAAAATGGTGCGCGGTCTGCCACGTTTTATGGCATGGCTGGAGCTTCCAATCTCGATTCAGTGTGGCGCTCGGCCCGTCCGCCGCCACCGCACACATCACCCAACACGCCTGCCGCGCGTGGGTGAGGTGAGAGAGGAGGAAGAGGTGAGGAGGGAGGAGGGAGGGAGGTGTCTGAGGGAGATGCGGGTGGGACGTGGGAGTGAAGAAAACCATAACCCCACTAAATATTAGGGGAAATATGAACTTGAAGGTCCGCGCGGATTTCTCGGATCCGTGCTGGACCCCCTCTGGCGGCGCCTCCGGCCGGCACCGCCCCTGGCGCGCTCCGCGCGCCAGGGAGGGGGGTCCAGCGCGGATCCAAGACATCCGCGCGGACCTCCGAATTGTTCCCCAAACAACTTTCTGAACGGGGTGCTGTTATGATAGAAGCTAACTCCGGTCGGTGGAATTCAAAGCAGAGACGTCCTCAAAAAATGTGGTGGTCCGGGCCGTTTTGCCTGAGACATCCTCGGAACTCTCGTTTCTGAGTTGTCCGGGATTGGGCAATTCGTGTGAGACATCATCCAATCTCTGAATTCCCAGATGCCGCGCGAGAGGTGGTCCGGGCCGTTTCGCTTGAGAGACATCCTCCAAACTCTGAGCCCCGAGATGCCGCCCAAGAGGTGGTCCAGCCCGTTTCACTTGAGACATCCTCGCACTTTTGCATTCCGAGATGTCGCGCGAGAGGTGGTCCGGCCCGTTTCTTCTGAGACGTCCTCGAAACTCTGAGCTCTGCGATGCCGCGCGCGAGGTGGTCTGGCCCGTTTCGCCTGAGACATCCTCCAAACTCTGAGCTCTGAGCTGCCGCGCAAGAGGTGGTCCAGCCCATTTCGCCTAAGACATCCTCGAAACTCAGGGCTCCGAGATGCCGCGCGCGACGTGGTCCAGCCCGTTTCGCCTGAGACATCCTCGCAACTCTGAGCTCAGAGATGCCCTGCGCGAGGTGGTCTGGCCCGTCTCGCCTGAGACATCCTCGCAACTCTGAGCTCTGAGATGCCGTGCGCAAGGTGGTCTGGCCCGTTTCGCATAAGACATTCTCGCAACTCTGAGCTCCCAGATTCCGCGCAAGAAGTGGTCCAGCCTGGGGGCCCAGAACAGCAAATGTTCCATATCCCCCCTGGGACCCTGGGAGCCCCAGGAGGCCCCAAAGAGCTTCAGGAGGCCGCAGGACGCCCAGGACAGGCCCCAGGGGTCCCCACGAAATTCCCAGGAGACTCCCAGGAGGCCCCATGAGGCCCCCTATCAGAACGTGTCAAGTTAATACACATCAGGTGCCGATTCTTTGATTTTTCCTCTGTTCTTGTGCCCCCCCCCCCAAGAGGCTTCAGGAAGCCCCAGGTGGGGTCCAGGAGGCCACAGGAGGCCCGAGACATCGTCGCGACTCTGGGGTCCGAGATGCCGTTAAGCTGGAGACATCCTCGCAACTCTGGGCTCCGAGATGCCGTTCGGGAGGAAGAGGAGGTGGAGGAGGAGGAGGAGGAGGAGGACGAGGAGGAGGAGGAGGAGGAGGAGGAGGAGGAGATGGAAGGGAGAAGGAGGAGGATGATGTGGCTGAGGGAGCAGGCAGGAGGAGGGGGAGGAGGAGGAGGAGGAGGAGGAGGAGGAGGAGGAGGAGGAAGAGGAGGAAGAGGACGAGGAGGAGGAGGAGGAGGAGGAGGAGGAGGAGGAGGAGGAGGAGGGAGAAGGAGGGGAGTTGCAGGAGAGGACCTAACGGGAAGCGAAGGTGACGTGGACTTGTCAGAACGTGCGCGAGAGGTTGTTCGGCCCGTTTCGTTTGAGACATCCTTCCAATACTGAGCTCCAAGATGTCGCTCGCGAGGTGGTCCGGCCCGTTTCGCTTAAGCCATCCTCACAATGCGAAGCTCGAAGATGTTGCGCGCGAGATGGTCTGGCCCTTTCTGCCTGACACGTTTCGTAGCACAGGGGCTCCAATCACAACCTCTCTCATTCCTTCTCCCGCCTCCCTCTTCCCGCTTCCCGCCTGGCTCCTCTTCCCTCCTCCCTCCTCCTGCCTCCCGCCTCCCGCTGCTGCCTCCGCCTCCCCGTCCCCGCCGTCGTCGTTTCTGCCGCCTCAGCATCCGTCATGCGCGCCCTGCCTTCCACCCTCCCCAGACATCCGGCGTCACGATTTCTTCCCCATATCCTAAGATGGGGTTCTTGATATTACTTGGACGCCTCCTACTCCCTCTCCTCCTTCCTCCTCCTCTTTCCTCCTCCCCTCCTGTTGGACTTACTCATACTCAGACTTGCTCATACGCAGACTTACTCATACACAGACTTACTCATACTCAGACTTACTCATACTCAGACCTACTCATACTCAGACTTACTCACACTTACTCATACACAGACTTACTCACACCCAGACGTACTCATACACAGACTCACTCATACCCAGACTTACTCATACACTCATACTCAGACTTCGCTTGGAGAGCAGATTGTGAGGATGTCTCAGGCGGGGCGCTGGTTTCAGCACCCCTAAGGGGAGCCGCCAGGGGTGTTTGCACGGGCTCGTTCGCGGCCATTTTGTGGGGATGTCTCAGGCGGTTTGCTTGTTTCTGGGCCCAACATCCTTCGCTTGGAGAGCAGATTGTGAGGATGTCTCAGGCGGGGCGCTGGTTTCAGCACCCCTAAGGGGAGCCGCCAGGGGTGGTTGCACGGGCTCGTTCGCGGCCATTTTGTGGGGATGTCTCAGGCGGTTTGCTTGTTTCTGGGCCCAACATCCTTCGCTTTCGGAGCAGATTTGGAGGATGTCTCGAGCGAGGCGCTCATTTTCACCACCCAGGTGGGCCAGATTTTGAGGATGTCTCGATCGGTTTGCTTGTTTTGGTGGCCAGGCTCGTGGCCCTAAGGGGAGCCGCCAGGGGTGGTTGCACGGGCTCGTTCGCGGCCATTTTGTGGGGATGTCTCAGGCGGTTTGCTTGTTTCTGGGCTCAACATCCTTCGCTTTCGGAGCAGATTTGGAGGATGTCTCGAGCGAGGCGCTCATTTTCACCCCCCAGGTGGGCCAGATTTTGAGGATGTCTCGATCGGTTTGCTTGTTTTCGTGGCCAGGCTCGTGGCCCTAAGGGGAGCCGCCAGGGGTGGTTGCAGCCGTCTCAAGGATCCTTCGCTTTCGGAGCAGATTTGGAGGATGTCTCGAGCGAGGCGCTCATTTTCACCCCCCAGGTGGGCCAGATTTTGAGGATGTCTCGATCGGTTTGCTTGTTTTGGTGGCCAGGCTCGTGGGCGCAGATTCTTCTCAGGATGCCACAGGAGGCTCCAACAGGCTCCAGGAGGCCCCAGGAGACCACATGAGGTCCCAGGAGGCATCAGGAGGCCACAGAAAAACTCAAGAGGCCACAGGATGTCCCAAGAGGCTCCAGGAGGCCCCAGGAAGCTCCAGAAGGCCTCAGGAAACCACAGGAGGCCCCAGGAGGCAACAGGAAGCGCCAGGAGGCCTCGGAAGGCAACAGGAGGCCCCGAGAGGCCCCAGGAGCAGGAGGCCTCAGAAGGCAACAGGAGTGGCTCCAATCCCATGTGTTTTACGTATGCTCCTATCGATTGGGCCTCACCTGGAGCACGATTCTTTGATGTTCTACGTATGTTTCTATAGATGGTCCTTCTCCTGTGTACACAATCCTAAATGTTTTACTCATGTTCCTATATATTGGGCCTCTCCTGGGGCACGAGTCCTTGGTGTTTTACGCGTGTTCCTATAGATTGCCCTTCTCCTGTGGCTCTAATCCGCAATGTTTTATGTACGTCTGTTGCTATAGATTGCGCCTCTCCTGGGGCACGAAACCTTCCTAGGAGGTCCCAGGAGGTCCCAAGAGGCTCCTGGAGACCCCAGGAAGCCCCAGTAGGTTTCAGGAGGCCCCAGGAGGCCCCAGGCTCAGGCACAGAGACGCGCTTGTACTACTGAGGCTCATTCACACTCCAATTCAGTCGCAATTAGATTGATGTCCCGACCGTCACAACTGAAGCCCGTTAATATTCGAAAGCTCTTGCGCCTAGACATTCACGGCGGACAGGTCCATGCGAGTAGATGCACACATGGGGAGCTCCACGCAGTGATTAATTTTGAGACGTGCGCCCACGGATCTCATGTGCAAGCATCCTGTTATCATGTTCTCACATGCCATGCCAGCCCGCACTGGACGGGTACGCAATCGACCTTGGAAACCGCAATGAGTTTGAAAACCCTGTTTTGGGATACTGCACTCCGGCTATACTTATGTCTATGTCATTTTCGTTCCCCTAGGAATGCCCGTGGTCATTCAGGCCCGACTTGCGCAAGCCTCCAGCGACAAGGAGGTGACCCCTTGGCCCTCCTTGGCCTTCGTCCTTGGTCCTCGGGGGCGTTGAGGGGCACCCATTGACTGCTGACTGCCGCTGGAGAGGCGTGCTCTTCTGCACGACCTACAGGTCACTTCGTCCATCCAACCCCGTCAGCCAGGTGATGAACGCATTCGCCCCCATGACCAAACGGGTGGAAGCCCGTCCCAGGCTGCAGCGTAGACTGCCTCCAAATTAAGTCTGGCATGCTACTCCCTGAACGTGGGTGAGGGTGAGGGTGATTTCCCGTGGCCAGGCCAGCACTGGGTTTCGCCTTCTGTGCAATAGTCAACAGCACTCTTAACCCGTTACCCGCACATCCCCTTCCTTATCAGGGCCGCTCCTCAATTCGACCTACCCTCTTCCACAGCATGCCATCCTTGGATTCACCGGCGGCGCCTGGACCAGTGCCCGGAGCTCGCCAATTCATCATCTGACGGTACGCTGGGAACCTGCAGACGGGGAGAAGGAATACGAAGTCGGAGACAAGTGTGGGGGTGGATGGGACGAGGGAAAATGAGGCGCGAGGATGAGGAGGAGTGGCAGAAGGACGGGGATGAAGGGGAGGCAGGGCGAGGGATGACGAGAATGATGGAGAGGAGGAGGAGGAGGAGGAGGAGGAGGAGGAGGAGGAGGAGGAGGACGAGGACGAGGAGGATGAGGAGGACGAGGGTGATAATGCTCATGATCATGGTCATGATCATGCTGCTGCTGCTGCTGCTGATGATGATGCTGATGCTGATGATGATGATGATGCTGATGATGATGATGATGACGATGTTGCTGCTGATGATGCTGGTGATGGTGAGGATGAAGATGCAGATGAAGAAGAATAAGGAGATTATGATGATGAGGGTTATGGTGATGATGCTGATGCTGCTTCTGATGATGATGATGATGATGATGATGACGACTTGTAGCATCCAAATCCCAGATAGCAGGGCAGTCCAAGGCGCGTTAAACGTCTGTGGGAGGCGCTTTGCAAGGACGCTGGAAAGGATGCCTGGGGAGCCTGCAAGTCCTGGAAAAGAAGCTTAGCAGGAGCTCCGACGGAGTTCCGAAGGAGCTGCGGAGAGGTTTCGGGCATGCGTATTGAGAACGAGTAGGAAAACGCTCGCCGGGACACGCTGCGAAATCAAGCGACTCGCTGCGACGCTGCCTGACCGGCGTCGGAAAGAGCTGCTGGACCACCCAGTGCTGCCCGCTTCTACAGTCGGCCCGTATCATAAGGATGCGCGGTGAGGGTGCAAGGGCCTTGGACGCCCATTCCGAAGCTTCTCGAGCAGGGCGCGACCAATTAAAAGGGCCTAGGATGGACCGAGGAGGCGAGGATGTAAGGGCACCCTTGGGAAAGTTGCCCATCCTTACCATGTGGGTCGACTGTAATCTCAAACCCTCTTATCTCTAAAGGCTTGTCGACTTTTCGCCAATCGACTTGTGGGGATCGAGCCAAATAAATCCAAGCAGTTGCAGATCAATCGAAGTAAGTCCAGGTAAATCAAAATAAATCCGGGTAGATCCAAAGACCTCCAAAGAAAACTGGAGCAACTCGCGACCGCTCCGGTAAGGACCTTAACTCTCGGTCTGGGTCTCCACTGCTGCTGTGGCTCTCGGTCGCCCGCGGACCGGTACCGGAGGTATGTCGGGCGTGTCCCTCTACAAGAGGAGCATTCACAATTAGTCTGGCGAACGACCCTACCATATGCAGTTGTTCGTGCGGCAATTGTGAACATGTTCTTCGGTGGAGCTCCCTATGGGGCCACGAAAAGTGTGAGGGGTGAGCCGAAATGGGTGTGGGGTTCGCATGCGGACGGTGGCGCGGGGGCCTTCGAAGAAGCTCCCGATGGGGCCACGAAACACGAAGCGTGTGAGGGGTGAGCCGAAATGGGTGTGGGGGACGCAAGTGGACGGTGGCGCGGGGGCCTTCGGAGGAGCTCCCGATGGGGCCACGACGCGTGTGATGGGTGTGCCGAAATGGGTGCGGGGGACGCATGTGGACGGTGGCGCGGGGGCCTTCGGAGGAGCTCCCCATGGAGCCACGACACGTGTGATGGGTGTGCCGAAGTGGGTGTGGGGGACGCATGTGGACGGTGGCGCGGGGCCCTTCGGAGGAGCTCCCGATGGGGCCACTAAACGCTTTACTGGGTGGGTGAAGCGCAGGGAGGAGGGAGGAGGGGGAGGAGGAGGAGGAGGAGGAGGAGGAGAACGCGGGGACCGCTATTTCAAAACGAGGACCCATGTTTGGAATACTTAGTCTGGGGACGATTTTTGGAAATACTATTTTAAACATTTTGGGATTATGTTCTGCATATTTTTCATGTTTCGTCCAAGATCTCACTGTAAGGGGGCACGAACGATTTAACAGTAGAGCCACTGCGGGCCCGTGGCGCTCAGCCGTGGAAAGCCTGTGGGAGAGGCATGCAAGAGCGTTGGGCAGGATGCCTGGGGTTATGGAAGTCGGGGGTAAGGATGGGAAGGAGGAGGGAGGCGCCCTTTCCAGCTGGGTTTGACTGGCTGTGCCATGCTTCTGATGATACGGATGATTAGAGCATGTGCGTGCGCTGGCTAACCGGCACGGCCCGGACAACCCCTTGGACAACCCCGCGAAGAACAGGACCACCCCCCGGACAACCATCCCAGAAGTTTTTCATACATCATAATACTGTACTTTGTCTGGATCACAAGACAGAATTTCGAGAACCAAAGAAAAACCGAAACTGCAGGGTTGTCACGTGTCGGTCCCTGGGAGACGATACTCGTTCGACACTGTTTCAATACTTTTCGGAATGCTCGGAATTATTCATGGGATGTGGTTCTTAAGTGCGATGGGAACAACATAAGCCTGGTGAGCTTGCAAGCCCTGGAAATGGAGCTGCGCAGGAGCTTCCAGGGGGCTTCGCGAGAGCTGCGGAAAGGCTTCGGGCACGCGTATGTGGAACAGGTAGGAAAACGCCTCTCGGAAGAAGCTGTTGGCTCAAGTAAGCCGCTGCGAGGATGCCTGCCCAGGAGGGTGGAGAGGCAGCTGGTCTACGCTGTGCTGTCGGCTTCTCATCTGGAACCCTCATAGCTCTCCAAGGAGCTATCCTTAAGTCGGGCCTGTCCTCCTACAGGGGGTTCTTTTTGCTCCTGCCTGGCGCGCGGAAGCGCGCTTGGGCGCCCGGGAGCCGCCGCGCCGGGAGCGGCAGCGTCGTGCCCTGGAAAATCAAAATCGTGCCACCTCGTGCCTGGTGGCGAAGCAGGAGGCGGGGAGGGGAAGGGGGGGGAGGGGAAGGGAGGGGGAGGGAGGAGGGGAGGGGGAAGGGGGGGGGGGGTAGGGGAGGGTCCGGGAATTCGAACTTCCATCACGGGTATGCTCCACATTTTGCTGCACTGAGGACTGCGGCCGAATGCCGTGGGTTACCGACGTTGAGATCCCCTCCTCTCAAACTCTGGCTTAGTATAGGTTGTATATGGGACCAATATTCTTTCAAAGCCTCACTCGCCCACCTGAGCCTTGGTCGCCCTACCCTTTTTTTGCCAAATTCTTTGGGGCGAATCGAATCGGCCTCGAAGGTGGCCTGTCTGAGGGGATCGTCATTGCTGGCTGCGAGTACTTGCTGGAGTAAGATCATCTTCCGGTGTTTGTAAACTTCCGAAAACAACTTGATCCTGCCCTGCCCTGCCTGGTTGGTGACGTGTGAGTTGGCAAGCTCCAAGACCCTTGCGTTACTGTTGGATCGATTGACATACGTCGTATCTAAGCGTAAGATTTTGCGCAGGCCTTTTAGTTGAAACGCGTTCAGTTGGTCAACAACTGACGCGTTCAGTTGCGCAGACTCTAATCCGTATAACAGTTTTGATCGGATAACTGCATCCAGTACAAGTAGCTTGAATCGCTTGGGGCAATCACTGTGAAGCCAGAACGCATCGAGCTTCTTGAGCAGCGCCATGCATATGGATTTCCTCTGTTTGACCTCTTTAGACACGTCAGACTTTTGGTTAAGATGACAGCCTAAGTATTTAACTTCTTCCAATCTTGGCACCGGGGTGCCGTCGCGGAAATGCACGTCTGGATTATTTGCGGTCGTGACCATTTCGCATTTACCTCTGTTCAGCTTGAGCCCGTACTTCTCGCTCTCCGTCCCAATCATAGCGAGAAATGCGTTCATGGCACGGGTGTCCGTGCTTGCGCAAATTGTGTCATCGGCATAAAGAACTTCGTCAACGTCCATTCCGCCGATTCTCTTGATTTCAAGCGCCTGGTCCAACTCATCGTGAATATCAGAAAACATGACCGTCATTACGACGAGAAATAAACACGGAGATAAAGGGCATCCCTGCCTAATTCCCGTGCGCTGTTCCTTCCAAGTCGAAGATGATCCTCCTCTCTCCACCTTGAACTCTGCGCACGTGTAGATTGACTGAATGACGGCAACGAGTTTGGGGGACACGCCCATCCGTTGTAGTGCGTGAGTAAGGCCGGGTCTGGTCACCTTGTCGAACGCTTTTTCCCAATCAAGCAACACCATAATTGTTCGTTTGTTTGTGATCTCTCCGTACTCTGCCATTCTGCGCACACAGTGTATCGCCTGCGCCGTGCCCCTGCGTTGCCTGAAGCCGTACTGCGTGGTTTGAAGATATGCGTCGAGTGTCGTGGCCAAGCGCTTTTGCACTATAGCGGCGTATATATTGTAAGTGCTGTTCAGCAGCGATATGGGCCGGTAGTTTTCCCAATTGCTTGTGTCTCCCTTCTTGTAGATCAACACAACTCGAGCTCGGAGTACTTCTGGGGATACATACTCTTTACGCCACCACGTGTTTAGGATTTCTAGCAACGCCTGAAGATTATCATCGCTCATCTCTTTGAATATTTCCATTGGCACATCGTCCGGGCCAGGGGCCTTGCGACGTTTGAACTTCCTGAGGGCTGCTCTGACTTCTGCCAGTTCGATATCTGCCTCGTTAAAGCGCAGTTGATGGGCGTGAATGACATCAGTACGGAGCGGAGAGGGCGGAGAGGGCGGAGGGGGAGGGGGAGGGGGAGGGGGAGGAGGAGGAGGAACAAATTGAGTGTTTGATTGGCCCCAGTGGCGCTGCGCCAGGTACTCGGCCGCTGCTTTCGCATGCTGGTCGAAAGCGATTGTTTTGCCGCGGATATCTCTTGCGTGGTAAGGCTGCGGTTGGTAATCGGATTTTAGGCTCCGGATTCCCATCCATCTGTCGCGGATGTCTAGGTCTCTGGAGAGCGTTTGCAGAACGGCCTCTTTCTTGTCCTTCCGCTTGCTTTTTCTGAATTCTTTGTCCAGCCGGTCGAACTCCTGTGGGTCCTGCGCACGCACCGCATCCCCGCGCGCGGCGAGGAGCTGCTCAGTGCGGCTCGAGAAAACGACGCTTCTCGCACGCGCCGGCGCTCTGGGCATAAGCCTCTCTGCTAGAATTGCAAGCTCAGCGGCCCCAGCACAGGGGGTTCTGGACGAAAAAAATAGAAATACCAACAGACTCCAAATGGGCAGAACTTGTCGTCCCCAGACTATATATATATATATATATATATATATTACTGTTTTTGAATATTCCTCCTGTAGAGGGACAGGCCCGAGCTAAAGCTATCCGGAATGATGAGGGAGGTGGAGTGTGGCCAGGAAGCGCAACCAGTTGTCTGGGCACGAACGCAGGCCGACACTCAGGACAACTCTTTCACCCCCTACAGGAGCAACACTATCATGCTCTCACGAAGGGGCCCTGAGATACACACACACACATAAATATACACAAACCACTGGAGTCCCAATGTTTCCCAAATTTTCTGGGTTTTTGTTTCCACCCCCCCACTTCCCATATTTTCCATATTTTCTGGGAAATCGACGACTCATTGTGTCTGTGTGTTTTTCCCTCCCGATCTCAGACTGTGCTGAGTGATTTCGAACAAACTTCCGCACCGAAGTCAAAAAGTAGTCACGGGCTCTTGAGTGATTCGAGTTCTACGTGGGGCCCAAAACGAGATGGGATCATCTCCGAACGAAAAACGTCAGCCCGGCTCGAACCACTTCTGCCATGTTGATCACCTCCCGGGACGCCATTCCTTGTGATCTCCAGAACCCAACACGTGCAAAGAAATCGGTCCTCGAACCTCGAGGTAGAGAGGAAGAGAAACGCAGGGAAACCTGACACTGCCCTCCTCCTTCTCGCCGGCGGCGCCCAAGCGCTTCAGCCCCGGCACGACCTTCGGCACGGCCTTCTTCGGCTCCGCTTTCTCTGGCCTCGGCTGCAGGCGTCGACACCACTCATTCGCTCTTGCCTGAAGAGGAGGACGCCGACCGAGGACAGCGGCGACGACATTGAGTGGATGCTTCGTCGACGACGAGGACGACGGCGACGGCGACAAGGGGTCGACGACGACGATGACTCACGACGCGACGAAAACGACGCCGACCCCCTCTCCTCTCCCGCGGCTTCATCCTCGCTTCGAAATTCTTGATTTCCCTCCTCCAAAGACACCTCCCCCTCGTTGTTCTCCATATTTTTCTTAGCTCGCTCCTCCTCCTCCTCCTCGGCTTTACAAGGGATGCGATGATGAGGGGCGGGGAGGTCAGCGGAGGGATGCGGTAGGGGGGGTGGAGAGGCAGGGGGGGGAAGGGAGGGGAGAGGTGGATGTCGAGGGAAAGGGGAGAGTGATGCCACATGGCTTCCGAAAAAGATGCGTCAAACGTGCAATTCAACTCTACTGCTGCGGGACATTTCGTATCACAGGCATCCTGGTCCATGCCAGAGGCCGTAAGCGGAGTGAGAGATGGGAGCGTGCCATCTAATCACTACAAGCACGCTCACGCAATGACCCCCTTCGAACTGGGCCATCATTCGAGCGGACGGTTCGGGCACGGGCGGGTCGGTCGGGTGGACCCCAGTGGAAGGTCGGGCGGGCGGACCTCTAAAGGAGGGACGAGCGGGCGGGTCGGGCTCGGCGGGGTATTGCAGTGCGTGGTCCACCGCATGGAACATTCTTGCGTGCGACCCTACCGTGTGAGACCATGTTGCAGTCCTCATGTCAGCTTCGCATGGCGATGCGTAAGCTAACGCAGCGCGCTGCTTGTAACATTCAAAATGAGCGCGAATGCCCCGCGCGGCATGATCTCGTCGGGATGCCCGGCGCACTGTGTCTCGCCACTGAAAACACGTCAGTCACAGCAAGACGTCGGGCAAGCATCCTGCGAGCAGCTCCTTCCCCCAAACTGTGCCTGCACTGGCATGTCCTCCGCCTCTCTTCCCCAAACAGTGCGTGCGCTTTTTTTTTTTTTTTTTTTTTTACTTGGGTTGCCCGCGGAAGTTGGACGGGCCCGCCGAGGTTTCGCCTGGCGCCTGGTCGCCTCGGTGCCTCGTGGGCGCCCCGCTGGGCGCCTCGTGGGCGCCCCGTGGGCCTGGCGCAGTGTCTGGTCGTGGGCGCCTCGTGGGCGCCCCGTTGGCGGCCAGGTCGCGGGCGCCTCGTGGGCCGGCTGGTGCCGAAGGGGCCTCGCCGAGTGCCCAGAGGGCGGCCGTTCGTGGAGGCCCCGTGGGCGGCCCGTGCGCCGGGCGGGCCCGCCCGAGGTTTCACCTCGTGGCTGGCCGTGAGCGCCTGGCGGGCGGGCGCCGGGTGCTCTGGCTGGGTCCGTCGGTGGCTCAGCTGATGGCCGCCCGTGGGCGCCACACTCTTTTGCTTTCTTCGTTGGCATCGAGGCGGGACAGTCCGCCCCAGCGCGGCAGCGATGCAGGGGCACTACACAGCGAAGTGGCCGGCATGCAGTGGGGGAGGGAAGAGGGGGGGCAGGGCGGCCGCGGGGGGGGGAGGGCGAGCACTCAGAGGCGGAAGACTTCCGCCGTCATGAGCAGCAGGGGTGGTCCGCAAGCGGCGGGGGCAGCGTCCGGGGGGGCAAGTTGGCACCGTACGTGCAACACTGAAGCTACACCACCGAGAACCCACCGCACTCATCACGCAGCCAGAATCGGGACAAGAAAAAACGTCGTAAACATATTTTTTTAGAGCTCCGCGCGGATATCTGGATCTGCGCTGGACCCCCCTTCCTGGCGCGCGCAGCGCGCCAAGGGCGGCGCCGGAGGCGCCGCTGGGGGCCCAGCGCGGATCCAAGAAAGCCGCGCGGAACGCCAAAAGTTTACCTTTTATGGCGTTTTTTCTTCTTCGGGGAGGAGGAGGAGCAGGAGGAGGATAGGATAGGACAGCCCAGAAGGGAAGAGTCCCGCGGGACTACGCGGCCGCCGAGCGGCCGCGGCCGCGGGGACCTGGCTACCACCTGAGGCGCCAGGTCCCCGACCGCCTCGTAGGACTTAGACATGCCCACGAGACCGAGGAACACGAAGCCGAAGAGCGTGAGGGGGAGGGCGGCCCGAGCGGGCATTATCGCCCTCCCCCCGCCGCACCGGACGCCGCCGCCGCCAGCAGGCCGCGAGTGCGCTCCAGGTGCGCCACGTGGCGCGTCCTGACAGCCGCGGGCAGGGGTTTCAGGAGCTCCTGCTCGTAGAACGCGACCGAGGACGCGAGCTCTTCGACGCCTGCTCCGCCCGCCGCGGGCGCCGCTCCAGCGGCCGCCGCCGCAGGCTCCGCAAGAGCCGCACCAGCACGCGCACGACCAGGCCCAGCCTCCGCAGGCGGCATGCCGCCAGCTCCAGCCGAACCTCCGTCAGCAGCAGGTGCACGACGCAGGCCGTCGGCCCACTCGTCGTCCATCTCGTCGTCGACCGTGTCAGAGGCGGCCTCCACGGCCATCAGCGCAAGCCCACGGCCCGCACCAGTAGCCACAGCGGCCGCCGCAGCGCCGACCGCCGCCGCAGCGGGGGGCTCCACGGCCATTGACTCAGCATCCGCCCTGGCAGCCGCGCGCCGCGCCGCGCGGCGCTGGCGGCGGCGACGCCGCCGCGCAGCCCGCACCGCGGGATCCGCGTCGCCCCCAGGCCGAACGTCATCACCACCTCGAGCCTCAGCGCCAGCGCCAACGTCACGCGGCCCCTGCGGCGCGGCCATGGCGAAGGCCAGGGCCGAGCACGCGGAGCGGGCGACGGCAGCGACAGTGCGCCTCGGCGCATGGGCGTCCACCGCCGCGCGGACGGCCGCAGCGACGAGCGCGGCGGCATCGGCGGCGGAGAGAGCCCCTGTAGCCTCACTACGAGCAGCCATCGGGACGGCCGAGCTGGGCAAAGCGTGCGAACGCTTGAGCCAAAATGAGGAGCAGGAGGAGGAGCAGGAGGAGGAGGAGGAGGAGGAGGAGGAGGAGGAGGAGGAGGAGCAGGAGGAGGAGGAGGAGGAGGAGGAGGAGAAGGATTTATGCAATCCGCGCCGTTTGCTGAGTTTCTTCAGGATCGGCAGGGTCCGCCACGCACGCCAGCGGAGCCTACCAGCATGACACGCCCAGCGTGCGCGCGCCTCGTGCTCCGCCCCGTGCGCTGGCCGGCGGGGGTCCGTCGACGGGTGGGCGACCGCGGGCGCCTCGTGGCTCCCTGCGCTCTCGCAGGGAGTGCCGCCCTCAGATGGGCGCCGATCGGAAGCGGGTCTCGGGCGAGATGACATAGCAATAGCGACCTTACGCGGCGGCTTGCGCGGGCCGCCAGCGCGGCGCGCCACGTTGGAAGCGAGGGCGCCTACGCGCGACCTTACGCGGGCAGCTTGCGCGCCGATGTCGGCGCAGACGACCCCCTTTCTTCGCGTCGCTCAGATGAGCTCCTCAACACGATCGTGCGTGTGGTGCTGGCTTGGGGATGCACCTGCTAGTTACCGGACCCCGATTAACAAGTGAACTTCATTCCTGCCGAACCCAACTTCAAGCGCACGGACCTCTGCCCATGATGAAACCCAGTGGCCAAACTCCACTGGCCATGGAGAGCTCTCGTCGACTCTTGCACTTGTGAAGGCTGGAGTGCTAGTGCTGTAGCTGATGAAACGGAACTGCAGAGCTTGTTCAGCACGCCGTCGGTGCATGTTTTCTGTATGTATGTATGTCTGTATATATATATATATTAATCCAGGCAGATTGCGGGCAGCAGGGGCCAGCAATTCTCTTTTCGAAGGCTATCGCATGCACCTCTGCGGCGGGTCCTTCAATGACACCTCCATTTGAACGTTGATGCTCGTCGGTGCCGCCCTCCATTGTTAGAGCGGCGTTGCAAGCAGAGTGCACCACGAACGCGCAGACTGGCAAGTAAGTGAAATTAACAAAGCATGACGACGTCGATTGACTGCGTACTCTCTGACTGGTGCCATGCAAGCTGCTGGAACAGGGGCATGTTATCCAGACAACGCAGCATCGCTGCGCCCCGCGTTGGACGAGGTAGTGAATCGATGCATGGGATTTGCCAGATCTCGTCTACGAGCATATTGTAAACGAGCAGTCCTGCATTGCTATTGGGACAACTCCTTACCAATACGATTAAGGTCATCAGGAGAACCACACGTAAAACTCTTGCGCATCAAACATCCCTCAAATATACGTTCAAACGGCCAAGAGGACATCGCAACATCTGCACATCCAGCACGGCATGTCGTTGTGTAGATATACTGCGCGATGCATGAGATGCTGTGCTCATCGCCAGAACGATCTTCCACACGTCCGTCTTGTACCGCGCCTTTTAGAAGAGGCTGGTAGAACTGGCCCCTTCGTCTAAACAGCATGGACTTGCATGCTTGTGGAGTGCCATGGTAAGCCCAGCTCCGCAGATCGTGCTTGATTCAAGCGCGATCTGCGATCTGCGGAGTGTGTTGGCGGAAATTCAAGCGGCTTGAACTTCCGCCAACACACGACTTGGACCAACGTCGACTCAACCGACATGGCCTAATTCATAGCAGTGCCGAGGGCCCGTCCGACCTACCCCGACGGCCAGGCAAGTTCCGTTGCTGTCATCGCTGCTGCCAAAGGTGCTGCTCCGGATGCTGCCGCACCCGCTGCTGCGGCCACTGCCGACGACGTCCCTGCTGTCCCTCGTCGACCTGGTCTTGGACGGCACGGCCGGGACCGCTTGATCCGCGTGTCGCGGCGGCGGCCCCGGCGACCTGGAGCGGGCGCTGCGACGCGAGGAGCAAGCGATCCCGAGCGCAGTGTTGCCCTCGATGGCTGCTGGGGAGGGCCCGCCCGATTCCCGAGCAGACGGAGCGCCGCGGGCGGGGAGGGATCCTCGCAGCGGAAAGAGACACGCCACCCATCCGAGTGCTGCCGAAGGCGAAGGCCAGGCATGCGCTGACATGCCCTACGGATCGGCCGGTCTGGCGCTTGGGCGCCAGATCCACGCATCGAGGCGACACATCAAGCCAGAGCCGCCTGATTTTGCAACGGAGCGCGTACAATTTGCACGTCGCTGGGGCCCGCCGTTAATCCACGCGCCTGAATCCGTGTCTGCGCTTGCTCGAGAAAAGGGTGGGAACTGAAGTCTTGGTAAACCAAATCGAGTGACAGCATGCAACCTGAGATCGGGCAATATCAATAATTATGTTGCTGATGCCCGCCTTGTTTTCCTGTGGCCATTCATTGCGGACGCCCGCGTTCTGGATTTGTCGCAACCGATGTCGGTCCGAGGCGCCCGTGCATGAATGCTCCGTGCATGTCCAATCTGCCTGCCAGCTTACACCTGTCCGTTCCTGCTCGCCGCCATCCACCCTTGAGAGCCCGACTTCTTCTCTGGCAACTTTGGCCTCGGTGGCCAAGGCTCCTTCTCCTCCGCGGCTGTCTTCCCCGCAGCCTGCAACGACGGGCTGAAGCAGCAGAGGAATACTCGAACGCTGGACCGAGGAGCTGCCACCGCGCCCCCTCGGCACGTTGAGGCGTGATCAATTGTCGCGCGCTGGCTGGCAGGGTTGTTTGAAGCCCCCCCCCCCACCCCACCCGCCGTCCCAGTCACAGTGTGGTGCATGCAGCCCCTCCTCCCTCCCGAGACGACTCGCTGGATGGCCCAACGCTTCTCTGGCGCTTTTCCGAGGCGCCTAAGGTGGCTTCTCTGACGGCCGAGGATGTCCAACAAGGCCGCCAAGCTGGTTCATTATGCCTCCAGGACGGCCCGAGATCGCCCCACGACGGCCCAAACAATGTTCCCCCAAGACGGCCTAAGAGGCCCCCAAGACTGTCCAAGAAGGCTCCAAGAGGAGCCCCAATAGGGCCCGAAGGTCAACACAAATGACCGTTTCGGGCTTCCGTCAGCCCAAGCGGCCTCCAGGATAGCGCCAAGACGGCCCAAGATGCCCCCAAGAGGCCCACGAGGCTGCCAAGATGGCCCTAGAGCACTCCAAGACGGCCCTGCACCGCCCCAAAACAGCCCAAGAGATCCCCAAGAGGGCCCCCAAGATAGCCCCAAGACGGCCCCAAAACGACCCAGCAGGACCCTAGCATGGCCCCAGGTGCCCGACTGCCCAAGAGCACTCTAAGATGGCACGATGAGGCCCCAAAGATGGGCTGAGAAGCCCCAACGCATGACGTCCCAGAGAGGCCTTTAAGAGGTACCCAGAAAGTCCCAGCAGAGGAGGAGGGACGAAGAGGAAAAGATGAATACGACGACCGACAGGAGGAAGTGAGGAACTGAGCTCTATACACCGACGCTTTTTCAATCACCGCAATTCGCATAAGAAAACAGATCCTGGTGTATACGGGATCCTGGTGGATACATGTTTGGTGGTCTCCCCGAGGAAGCGGGGAAACACGCATGCACCACACCGCCCCGACGTCGTCCCCGACCCTCAAAAAAGTCATGGGATTGAAGCACAGGCCGCCACTGGCAGTGTGTGTGTGTGTGTTCCAACTTCCAAGGAAGGACGCTCCGACACGACGCGGAATGGCGTGCCACATGTTACGGCTCCCCCGAGCCTCGTGGCATGCCGTGTCACATGCTACGGCTTCCTGCGCCCCTCGGCCAGCCACCACCAGGAATGCCGGGCTGGCGCGGTGGCGGGACTTGCCGCGGGCAGCAGGGTATGTGCAGGACTCATAGGGGAGGAGGAAGGACAGAGACGACCATGAGAAAATGGGCATGGACAATAGATACGTAAGGTAGGCATAGCTGACCTCTACCATTCTGCACATAACGATCACCATCGCATCGGGAACCGTAGTCAGAAGACGACGGCTACGAGGAGCACTTGGAGGCAAGCCGCAGAAGTCTCACCAACACATGGAAACTGGCGCGTGGACTCCACAAACATGCTAGGGGAAACCGAAGGCGGGGACCAAACTGGGAAACCACAACAACAATGAACGTCCATGGCAACCAATGCCACGACCCCATGGGCGGTACCCTGTAAACAACTATAGCGAAACCGAACATCCAAATCGAACATTCATGAACGTGACCCTACGCACCATCCGCGAAACCCAAAAAGGCAACCGAACGGGTGACCCCGTTGCCTCCAGCGACCCTGTTCGACGCTCTCGGAGACATTTTAGGCCACCTGGAGAGTATCTTCGCCGACCTGGAGGTACCCTGAACGCCTTGCGTCTTGGAAGTCTGGGTGAGTCTTGCGACCACCACGTGTCAGTTATGTGGCGAGCTCCGAAGGCCTGGAAGCATCCACGACGCCAACGCTTGCCTCTGGCGGCTGCCAATGAGCTTACTGAAACTTCCGCTGGCAACACCCTCCACACTGAGAGCGCGAAAGGAGGGTCAAGCTGGAGGAGTAAAACAGGTGGAGCTGCGAAGGCGAATGAACGAAGACGCATGGTGATGGATTGGTGCGAAGAGGCTCAGGAGCAAGAAACATAACATCGACGACGCACATCATGCTATGCGGAGTCACCCCCCCTGTCATTGAGATGAGCCGATGTCCCCAATCGTTCTGGAAATGCGGCGCGTGACTGGCCGAGAATTAGCGGGAGACTCACCTCGGCGGTGGTTGAATTGTGAAAGTCCGATTTGGCATTCTTGGGGCTGTCTTGGGGCCCTCCAAGGGGCCGTCATTAGCCTTCTTGGGTGTCTCGTGGGGATCTCGTGGGCCGTCTTGGAGCCCTCTGGGGCTGCTTTTGGCTGCCTTGGGGCCGCTTTGTGCCATTCGAGGCAGTATTGGGCGTCTCGTGGGTCTTCCTGGGACCTTCTTGGTGCCCGCTTGGGCAATCCAAGGGCCATCCTGGACTGTTTTGAAGCCCCTCTTGGGCAGTCTTGGGGCCAGAAGCAGCCCGAGAGAGCCACAAGAGGACACCCGAAGGCTCGAACATTCCCTCAGGAGGGCCCCAACGGCCTCCAGAATGGCACCAAGGGGGCTCCACGATGACCCCAAGAAACTTCCAAGGGGCTCCCCGGGCGGAAGACCCGCAAAAGCCTTGATTGTTAATGCCTGTCATCGTCGTCACCGTCGCCGTCGTCGCCGTTGTCGCCGTCGCCGTCGCCGTCGCCGCCGTCGCTGTCGCCGCCGCCGTCGTCGTCGCTGTCGCCGTCGTTGTCGCCGTCGCCGCCGCCACCGCCGTCGCCGCCGCCGCCGTCGTCGTCGTCGTCGCCGTCGTCGTCGTCGTCGTCGTCGTCACGGTCGTCGTCGTCGTCGTCGTCGTCGTCGTCTTCGTCGTCGTCGTCGCGGTCGTCGTCGTCGTCGTCGTCGTCGTCGTCGTCGTCGTCGCGGTCGCGGTCGTCGTCGTCGTCGTCGTCGTCGTCGTCGTCGTCGTCATGGTCGTCGTCGTCATCATCATTGACGCCTTCTTCCTACCCATCATCTTCCTCTTCCTCCTCTTTTCATCTCCTCGTCCTCCTCCCCATCTCCTTCCTCCCTCCTCCTTCCCCCTCTCCTCTTCCTCCTCTTCCTCCTCCTCCTCCTCCGTTGTCTCCTGCTTCGTCTTATGTGTTCAAAATTAGCGACTGCCTCCTTTTGTTCCACTGCATGCTGCTATAGGTCCTTGATGAGACGGGCACTCCTTATGATTGTGTGTAAAATTGGGCTGCGGCTAATACACGAAACGTCAAGACCTTGGACGCAAATCAATCTCAAAAAGGCAAGTGCAATCGGAATGCAGATCGAAATCTTGATCGACATGCAAAACAAACCGGCATTCGGAATGCAAGTACTATGTACATATCGTTGCAATCGAATCGCGTATGGGAAGTCAAGTTCTTCGACCCCGAATAACCTCATTATCACACGAAGGGGTGCGGCTGTCTATAAGGTATGAATATGAATTCTGAGCGTGCGTAACAAACGCCGATCGGAAGCGAAAAATGCGGAGGAGGGGCAAGACGATCACTAAGACCACGATAATGACAACCGAATCCATGAAGCGGAGGATGACAGGGAAGGGGGATTGAAAGATCATGATGAAGATGGCGATGTTTCGGGCTCCTTGGATGCCGTGCGGACATCGCGCACTTCTAGCCGTAGGTGAGGGGGGGGAGGGGGAGGGGGGCCAGAGGGAAGGGATTTCCAGGATTTCCGCCATCACGTAGTGATAACAAGGCTTAAAAGCTCAGCTCTTCGGAAACAGGCCACGACCAATCCTGTCAAGGTATTCGCGCCTGGCCTTAGAAATTGGTAGCTTGCACGGTTCTCCCAAGCCCCTGAGCTGAGCCTGGCCAAAGAACCCACATGTGCGGCAAAACCAAAGTTTAAGGTCTTTATGATAGGTCAGTCAGCGGGTCCTGGTCGCCACCTCAAGAGAGGGAAAACCCCTGCGTGAGCCTATTGATTGTCTCGTCGCACTGAGCGACCAGGTCCACCTCAGCTTTGGGGACACCCAGCAGGGCAACAATGTGCGGCTGGGCGCGGCGTTCTAACTCGCCTTGGAGTCCTACGATCCTTGTCTTCTGAGCCGGAAGCAAGCCCAGCGCGCAGCCCGACCGCTACTTGGCATGCTCCAGCACAACACTCGGGGGGCGGCGAAGAGGACAAGACGCTCCCGGGCCAGCTAGCAGTAACCAGAGCCCTTGACGGCCTCGAACCTGTTGAACCCGCGCACGGAGGATGCGGACGATACGGGAGGCGCATCACAGCAATAGAAACGGCGCGGGCTTACAAAATGCCCAGCAGCCTGCCACGGGTCAGAAGCTGGGTGAGCGTGACGCGGCCCGCTCCGCTTCTGAAATCGTGAAGCTCTGAAACTCCTTCGGACGGCAACGTTTGCTTTCGCCAACTTTCGCCGGCAGATCCGCCCCTGCTTCACTTCCGCCGGCTCTCCGCAGGGGGCCCCACGCAGAAGCACAAATACTGCTGGACTCATTCTTACCACGCTACGCTGGGATGCCATGGCGCTGTTGGTGCCATCTCCTGGACCGTCGCGCGTGCGATTCCCGCGCTGGGCGCGCAGCGCAAGCGCGGCTTCTCGAGCGGCGAGCGGCTGGGTCGGCTTCGTGTGACGTGGAACGTCAGGGGGGGCCGGCTCAGGGGCGGGGAGGGGGGGCAACAGCCGGGAGGGTGGGGGCAACACCGAGCTGAAATCGGCGATGCGTCGCCGATAGGTCGGCGACCCCGATGGCAAATCCGCACCTTTCCTGGTCGGGGTGCGCTATCGGGCCCCTGTCGGCGATCAATTGGCGGTTGGTCCTCCTCCTTCTCCTCCTCCTCCTCCTCCTCCTCCTCCTCCTCCTCCTCCTCCTCCTCCCCCTCCCCTCCCTGAGCCTATCCCCCCGAATGTTGCCCCCGATGGTGCCAGGGTGGGGTGGCGCCGTCCTTCGATGCGGTCTGCACGCTCATCGGGCGGCGACGAGGAGCCACGAGAGCGGGCCACGCTAGCGTGGGTTCAGAGCAGGAGTCATTGAGCCTGAGCCCATTGGCCGAAGGCCCACGGCACCGTGGATAGAGGCCTCCTAGATGGGGTCGGAGTAGATCGGGTCGGAGGATCTCGCCGCAATGCATCGGCGACGTCGGCGTGGAGAAAACTGGGCCCCCACATCGAGCCGCATCGCCGATGCATCGCCGATAAGGCGCGATCCTCCGACCCGCTCTACTCTGACCCCATCTAGGAGGCCCAAAAAACAAAGCCTTGACAACTAATTTGGAGATCCCAAAACCGTGTGGTGACAGACCATGCGGTGACGTCGGACCCCCAAGAGACCTCACCGCACGGTCCGTCACTGCACGGTCTTGGGACCCTGGAGGCCCTAGTCGCCGGAGACGTCCTCGGAGGCCTGGAGTGGAAGTATCCAAGACGAAAGCCGCTCCACGGCGGAGAGCCCGACGACGAAGATCGGGAGCGGCCAAGAGGGGGGCGTCCAAGAGGGGGAGGTGCAAATCATGACCAGCGGCATGTGCGCGGCCCAGGGGGGAGGCCAGGGACGTAATGAAATAAGAAGAGGCGCCATGAAATCTGCCACGATCTCCCCCCCCCCCTAGTCATCACCCCCCTCTTTGTCGCCCCCGAGAAGAACGGAAGGGCCCCCCTCCAAAGCCGGGGCTGTTCTTAGCCCTCGCTGTCAGCTGTAGGCTGGCGGCGGCCCTCCAGACGGAGTCCGAGGCGCTGCCGTCGCCCCCCCGGCACAGCCGGGCCTCCGTCCCAGAGGAGAGAGGGATGTCGGGAGCGGCCAAGAGGGGGGTGTCCAAGAGGGGGGGGCGCAACTCATGACAGGCGGCATGTGCGCGGCCCAAGGGGGGGGCCAGGGACGTAACGAAATAAGAAGGGGCGCCATGAAATCTGGGGAGATATCATGGCCGCCGCCATGATATCCCCCCCCCTTGTCATCACCCCCCTCTTTGCCGCCCCCGAGAGACGGGAGTGGAGAGAATGAGTGTGTAGGATGATGTTGCTCCCATCGTACTTAAGGACCCACTCCCAGAGATCACTCGGAACACCCCGAAAAATATCGAAGCGATGTCGAACTCGCCTCCCAGGCCCGACACGTGAAGTCCCAGAAGTTTGAGTATTTCCTTGGTGCTCAAAATTCCTGCTGGTGATCTAGGCTAAAGTAGGTTGGAACACCATAAGTGTAGAAAAGACGAAGGATTGAGGGCACTGATCCTCAGAATTTGAAGAGCGATGGTCCTCAAGCTTGGATACCGTGCAGGACAGAAGAGGCACGACATCCAAAACGAGGACGACACACAAACTGACCGTACATCGTGAATGAGACTCGTACCCAGCGCGACCTGGTCACGGGACCCCTGAGATCCAACGCATTGAAGAAAAACATGGCGACCTAACATAATCAGAGCCCCCAAACCCATGTTTCTGCTGATGCTTATCAAGCCCGATCGATATGTGATGGTCCCGACGGCCGAAACTAGGAAACCACGCCCGATGTGAGACAGCACGCAACGCACCGAGCTCAGGAACATACGAGTCGAGAGGCTCCTGCGGAGAATGCTGTCATGCATGCCTATGCCTTCGCAGTCACTTCGGAAGCTGCTCCATTTGCATGCTCGACGCGGCGTCGCGCGGGTGCTGGCCAGCTTCGGTCCTGCCACTCGACTAACGAACGAAAGGGATGAAAAGCGGGGGGAAGAAGGAACGGAACGTAGGAGGAGGAACAAAGGCACATTCTTCTACTGCCAACCACCGTCATCGCCACCGAAAACACCATCCGAAGCTCCGTCATTCTTGTCACTCCGTGTGTTGAAATACCTGAAATCAATGAAAAGGCTTAGGGCAATGAGCATCGCTTTCCATTCGGGATTCTGGATTTGACCAAACTCGACTTCATAATTGTCGACGTCGTCCGCTGCAATGAATTTGAGGCAATCCGGCACGATCTTCTTCAGGGAAGCCACCTCCTCACCACTCTTAGCATCGTTCACAGTGAACTTCACTTCCCTGCATGGCCCGCACGGACAAGGGCAGATCAAGCCGAGCTGGCAGCATCCTCCTTTTGCTGTTAACGTTGGCTCACCGTTCGCGTCCATGAGTTCAAACGTCATGTCACAGCATGCCCAAGGGTCTCTGATCCTACCCAAGGTTTGGCCGGTGACCGCACTGACGACATCGATAATAGGCCTATTGAAACAGCAGCAGGTGCACTGACAGTCTTTGTGCATGTGGAAGAACTTCTGCGAATTGGAGAGGTCAACCTTTCCGAAAGGATTGAAACTCCAATCGAACTGATTTTCTGCCGCCTGCGTAGCTTTGGGATCTTGCCCCAAAACAACGACATCGATATCGATTCCGCGACAGTCGCCGCCGCACTGGCGGTTGCAGAAATCTGTCTGCTCCACAGCAAAAAACAGGTTATGCCCCTGCATCGTCTGCACAACGTACTTGTTCGCCATTTCCAGCTCCATGTCCACGCCCATCAATTCGCCCATCAGCCCCGCCGCTGTCTCCATCATGTTCATCTTCTCCTCTATCTTCACTTGCTGGAGTGAACTCAACATCATGAAGGGGTCCACCTGCATCAACTGCATGGGTGCGGCCATCATCTGCTGCTGCGGGGGACCGCCCCACATCTGCTGCTGCCCCGGGGAGCAAAACGAGCGCGCCAGCCCCGTCCTCTCCTCCTTACGCCCCCTTTCCCAGCTCCTTCGTGCAACGGGGGTGGCTGGAGGAGGGAGTGGGGAATAAGTACGAGGATTTCACAACTGTTTTGCCAACGAGAGCCTTGCTTGGCTGCCACGTGGGTGGAGCTCCCCATGGGACCATGGAACGTGTGAGGGGTGCGCCGAGATGGGGCGGGGCGCCATGCGAGCCCTGCCATTGGGGCCATCGGTGGAGCCTCCTGTGGCGCCACGACGCGTGTGAAGGTGTGCCGACATGAGGCAGTTCGCCATGCGAATCCTGCCGCTGGGGCCCACGGTAGAGCCTCCCGTGGCGCCACGGCGCGTGTGAGGGTGTGCCGACACGGGGCAGTTCGCCGTTCGAATCTTGCTGCTGGGGCCCTCAGCGGAGCTCCCTGTTGTGCCACGAGACGTGAGAGGGGCGTGCCGAAATGCCACCGCGGCCATCGGTGGAGCTTCCTAAGGGGTCACGACGCGTGCGAATGGTGTGCCGAAATAATGCGGGGCGCCATGCGAACCCTGCCACTGGGGCCCCCTTGGAGCTCCATGTGGGGTAACGGAACTCGTAAGGGGTGTGCCGACATGGGGAACGAGAAATGGGTGATGAGGAGGAATGGGGAGAGAACGGGCGGGGGGATCAAGACAGAAAAGAAAGACGGAACACATGCGCGGCGATGCGGGTTCGAAACGAGGACTTACCACACTGGAGGGTTGGGAAGAGGGAAGATGAGGATGAGGAAGATTCTCCATGAAACCAATGCGCGGATGCTGACAAGTGCCAACTTACCCACTGAAGGAAAGGGGACTCCACCATTCGAAGCACCAACCACGGAAGGGCGGGCAACGCGATTGAGGAGGAAGGATGAGGAGGACGTGACGTAAGGAGCGATATGAGGAGAGGAGGAGGAAGAGGAGGAGCAGGGGGATGAGGAGGAGGAAGGAGACGCGCGGCGCTGCGAAGTCAAACCGAGGACACCCCCCACAGAAGGCTTGGGAACGAAGAAAGAGGACATTGACGATTAGCACTATTTTTGCTCCCCGCTGCTGCTGCATGGGGGAGGTCATCATCTGCTGCTGGGGCACGCCGTCGCCCTTGGATGCCCACCGGCGCGCCCGTCCGCAAGGGGAAATATGAAGACTAAGGGTTCAACGAGGTCAGGGGGAGGACGGAGCGGAGGAAAGAATCCGAGGAAGGAGACGGGATGCGGGAGGGGGGAGGAAGAGAGAAGATGGTGATCAGGAGGATCGGCAGAAGGGATGAATATCGATAGGATGACATAACAGGTGGTGGATAAGAGGGAAGCCGGGGGGGACAAGGGAGGAGGAGGAGGCGGAAGAGGAGGGTGAGGGTTAGTGTAAACCAAAGCACGTCAACGATGTTGCAATACACCCTCCCTTTAAATTCCCTCGTCATAGATCTCTATCAAATTGTGTTGTGAATGTGGGAAATGGCCCATTAGAAATCAACCATCTGACAATCCTCAATCGCGCCAAACCGCAATTCCTGGGACTTCAACGCCGCCGGTCAACGTGACAGCTCCGTCCTGACAACCCTAAACCGTGCCAGATCACCACTCCTGGGACTTGGCAGCTGCGCCCTGACAATTCCCAATCGTGCCAGTACACAACTCCTGGGACTCCGAACATACGATTCCTTGAAGCTGTGGCAAGCTTTGAAAAACGAATGCGCGTCGCGCTCAGGCGAAAACCGCATTTCGGAAAAGATCTGCCCTCTATACTTAAAACCGCTGCAAACTTCCAAAACGACTGTGCGCGGCGCCTCAAGCGAGAGCCACATTTTGAACAAGACCTGTCCTCCACGCTTGAAGTGGTTTCAAACTTTTCAAACGAATGTGCACAACATTAAAACGATAACCATGCTTTGAAAACCAACCGCCCTTCATCCGTGAGACTACCGCACACTTGAACACAACAAACATGCGCAGCGTTAAACGCGGTAACCACATGTTGAACATCGCCTGCCCTCCATTCTTGGAGCTACTGCACTGTTAAGACAAATGCGCGTCGCGTTAAGGCGATGACCACATGTTGACAACCATCCGCCCTGCATCGGTGAGTTCGTGACACAATCTTAAACAATGAACATTCGCAGACTTACAACGATAACCACATGTTCATAATAACCCGCCCTCTATCCTTGGGACTGCTGCAAACTGTTAAAACGAATGCGCGTCGCGTTAAAACGATGACGACCTTTTGCAAACAGCCCGCCCTCCACTCGTGAGACCGTAGCACACTTCAACGAACATGCGCGGCGTTGAAAAGATATCCACATGTTGAAAATCACGTGCCGTCCATCCGTGGAGCTGTTGCAAGCGTTCAAGATGAACGTGGGCCGCGATAAAAGAACAAGAATCGTACTTTGAAGCCGTCCGCCGTCCATCCGTGAAAATGCTGCAAACGCCATCTTCAAGGTCGCAAGCCATGGGGGGTCTCAAGCGACACGCCAGGCTAGCCCTGCCGACACGTCTGGGGGAGCGGCACTGCAATCGTGCTTGCACTTAGGGGCTCGCCTGATTTCTTTTCTAAGGAACTGGGCATGATTGGCGGTGTGGCGGCTCCGTGCTCGCCGTCGCCGCCCCGTCGCCGCCTCGTCGCCGCCCGTCGTCTGGGCCTGGCTGGCGGTCTGGCGTCTCCGTGCTCGCCGTCGCCGCCTCGTCGCCGCCCGTCGTCTGGGCCTGGCTGGCAGTCTGGCGGCTCCGTGCTCGCTGTCGCCGCCCCGCCGCCGCCCGTCGCCTGGGCCTGCCTGGCGGTCTGGCGTCTCCGTGCCCGCCGTCGCCGCCCCGCCAAGGCCACACTTCTTTTGTAAACGAATACCATGCGGGCACATGAGCGCGGACGCCGCGCGCGCAAGTCGAAAACATTCCAAACACATTGTGGTTTCGACAATGTCAAGACATAACTTCATGAAATCACACGAATCGTACCATACACCCTCGAACAACACCTGCAAACAATCAATACATATATCCGCGCGCGCTTTCCGAATTCTACAGACCAATGGAATTTTGTGTTTTAACATTTCAGGCATGCGAGCAGCTTATGCGTGCGCGTCGGACGCCTTCAACATCGGTCGTGCGCCTGACAAGGTCACAATCCCGAGTAACTTATACCATGCGGGGCACATGCGCGCGGCCGCCGCGCGTGCATGTCGAAATGGCTAGCGCGGCCGCACGGATGCACCAACCAACACCAAGCACCCATCGCAATCATTTCTGCATGGGTTTTGCAAACCGCATTGCGGGTGGGTGGGCGGGATGTTTGCGCGAGCAGTGGACTTGACAACTTCAAGTCCGTCCAATGAGCTGCATTACGTAGATTGCCCTGCCTATATTGCGCCACGTGGGTTGCACCACACAGATTGCACAACATGGTGCGCACCACGTAGATATCCGATCTAACTCTAAAACGCGAGATTGACTCTACCCCCTGGGGTTATCCGTTCCCCTTTATTCCGCACTGCAATTTACAAATGATGGTGCCACATCGTCCATCGTAAACATGAATTCGTGACATGCCCAGCCGAGCCGCCATCCCATGGTCTGCAAAAAAACACTCTGTGCGCGCACTCGTCGATCACAAATCATCAGTTCCCAATAATCCCTTGCAAAACATGAGACGAAGTACGCACGCGCGCGTTGTCGCGCGCGTGCAAAAATCCTATAAAAACAACCGGTTTCGCAGAGGTTTCAAAGCCGAGTGTCCCAGCAACCTATAAAACAGACAAGGTTTCGCAACGCTGAATTTCAAAACGAAGCTTGCGCGCGGTGTTGGAACTTCTCGGACAAACAGTTGCTCTTCAACATATTCCTGCCGTGCTACCAAACTGGTTTCATGTCGAAATCGTCCGAACGCCCTTGCGCACGTGCCGTCGCGAGAATCCTTTGCAACAAATGGAACGAAGTGCACCCGCGTGCGTCGTCGCGCGCGCATGCCGGAACCCGTCAAACACCTTCGGGCTCGCAGCGGTTCCAAATCGAGTCTCTAAAGTAAAATCAACACAAACAAAGGACATCGCAACGTCAGCTTTTGTGCATATATATATATATACATATACATATATATATATATATATATATATATATGTGGACACCCCCTCCCAGCACGCATTCCTGGCCTTTTTTCCTGTTGGCGTTGTTGTACACTCCTCTTCCTTTCCTTTCCCCGTCTTCCTACATTCCCTTTCCTTTCCCTCCCCTTCCTTGCTGCACTCCCCTTCCCTTCCCTCCTGTTCCTCGCTTGCATCCCCCCCCTTGGCGTCAGCGGTGGCGTGTTTTCAACTCCACTCGCGCGCGCGCTCTGGCCGCTGGGCTGGCCAACACAGAACGGCAGCGCACTGTAGAAGATGCGCGCGGCGCCTTCCCCCGAAAAGGGAGCCCAGAGCTTGTGGCGACCATTCTGCACATACGATGGGCCGCCGAACCTTATGTTTTCACAAGAGTTGTTTGAAATTTCGATATGGGAATCACAGAAACCATACGATTTTACATATATGTTTGAGATTGTTTGTTTTTCGGCCCTCCGAGCGAAAATCAGCGCCTCAGCTTCCCAGGACTCCGAATCTCAGGAATTTCTTTGGAAACGCAAGGGTTTGCGCCCCCATGCTTCGGAAACCATATGTTTCCACAGAGAAGTTGGAGATTTCTTGGGATGGGAATCGCGGAAGCCATATGTTTCCACATAAATGTTTGACACGTTTCGTTTCTGGCGCCTCCGAACGAAAACGCACCAGCCCCGCAGGGCTCCGAATCTCAAAAATCTATGTGAAAACAAAGGCTTTGGCACTCCCTTGCTTCGCAAGCCGTTTTTTTTTTTTTTTTTTTTTTTTTTTTTTTTTTTTTTTTTTTTTTTTTTTTTTTTTTTTTTTCACAGAGATGTTTGACATCTCTGGGCTCTGGGAAGCTGAGGCGCTGATTTTCGGAGGGCCAAAAACACAAAAATCAAACATCTCTGTGAAATCAAATGGTTTCTGTGATTTCCATGTCAAAAATCTCAAACGTCTATGTGAAAAAAACAGGGTTGGGGGGCCTCTTGGGCTCCGGAGGAGGAGGAGGAGGAGGAGGAGGAAGAGGAGGGGGTGGAGGTGGAGGAGGAGGAGGAGGACTAAGCAGTGGAGGAGAAGGATGAGGAAGGGGGAGGAGGGCAGGCGAGCGTGCCTTTGCGCCGTGCAAAGCAATAGTACCTAAGCGCACTACACACACTGACGCGGCACAGAACGGATCAGCTGCATGAGAGATGCGACGCGAATACTAGAAGCAGTATTGCACACAGCGGCGGGAGGGAGCGATGTGATGCGCAGCAGCAGCAATCGCAAGGAGCGACACGTCGCGAATTCGGAACGGGCAGAGCGGCACGCAGGTACCCCGTCTGGGGCGAACTAGCACACCTGCGACCGCGGCCGCAAGGCGCGCCTACGCCCGAGACACCTGCGCGCGCGCTGCCCGTGGTCTGCCGATCGCGCGCTCACTCGGCCGCGACAAGTACGCCGTCCGCGGCCGCCCCGCTGCTCGATGCCGATGCGCCCCCCCTCTGCGCTTCCTCCTCCATGATCTGCTCGAGCCCCTGCTCCAACGACATGTCGTTCTTCTTCTGGGGCGGCGACGTGGAACTGAGGTCGATGCAGCCGCTGTGGCCTGGCTGGAGCTTGAGGTTCCTCCACGCGCCAGGCTCAGCATTGATGCGCTTGGTCGGCGCCGCCTCTGGCGTGCGCGGCGCAGCAGGAGCGGCCTCGGGGACCTCGCCAGCGCCCTCGCCCCCATGATCCTCGCCGACAGGGCCGAAGAAGTCCAGCTCGTCGAAGTCCTCGGGCGGGTTGAGCGGGGGCTCCTCCATCGCTGGCGCGTCCGCGGCCGCCCCCGCGGCCTGGTCGTCGCTGGCGCGCGCCGCGGCGGCGTTGCGGGCGGACTCCATGTGCTTCGCCATGAGCTCGGCCATGTCCCTCTTCTCGAACGAGAGCAAGCGGTCGAACTCCTCGGTGTCGCGGCGAACGCCGGAGTCCTGCAAAGTACGCCCAGAATGCCTTGCCTGCCTCTGGCATCAAGCGCCCCTCGTACAGCGGATACTTCTCGACA